TCAGCCTTCCCAGTAGCTGGAATTACAGGCATGTGCTACCACGCCCGGCTGATTTTTTGATTTATTGTAGAGATGAGGTCTCGCTGCCCAGGCGAGTCTCGAACCCGCGGGCTCAGGCAATCCACTCACCTCAGACTCCCAAAGGCGCGGGATTATGGGCTGAGCCACCGAGCCTGGCTTACATCCCTCTTTTACAAATGCAAAAGCTGAGCCATCTCTGTCGGGTCTGACTGTCCCTAAGGGTTTGGTTTTTCTCAGGACACAAATGAATCCAGGGCTATTTCCTCTCCAATTCTAACTCCTGCCAGCATGGCGAGGAGGAGGAAGTCATAGGAGCCCTGGTCCAGGGAGGGGGCCAGCAACAGCCCCACTCAACGAGAACCTACTGTGTGTCAAGTTCCTGTCTTACCTAAGCCTTACAGTGGGATGAGGGAGGCATCGTCATTCACGTTTTATGGATGAGAAAAGTGATGATCAGAGATGTTAAGTAACTTGCCTGTGGCCACTCAGCTATAAAGCACATGGTAAAGGTGGGACTTGAAGGCCTATCTGTTTTCACTACCCTGTGCTTCTTGTCTAATCTGTAATGCTGGACAGTCAAGCTGTGTACAATCTGTGGCTAGCATCTTCCCAGTTCTGGCAGTTTTAAAAAGTACTCTCAGGTATGTTACTCCTCCTTTTGTGTTAAGAGTTTCCCCTTCCCTCCCCTTCACATGATCACAACATGCATCTCCTTCAAGCCTTCTCCCCTAAGCTCAGGGTGGGCCAATCCCTAGAAGAATGGAAGGCCAGATGGACAGACAGACAGTGCTCTTACCAGGCACTCCTCTGGATGGCTCCTGTCGGTGGTACAGACGTCGACTCTTAAGGTCTTCTGGTGAAGGGCTGGATAGGACATGGACACCCAGAATACCTCGTTGAACACGAGACTGTCTGAGGCATCCAGGGGCCGGGTCCGGAACAGGCAGGTGGTGCTTTCTGAGCAAGGAAGGACAGCCACACGGATGTTCCTGGAGCGAGACAGAACCGCAGGGGAGCTTGGGTCAGCCCAGGCCTGGGGCTGATGTGTTGGGCTAAACAGCTGCTGAGATCCCAAGAACACAGTGGATCAGAGTTTGTAGAATTGAGTAATCAGGCCCCTCATACTTTGGAAGGCAAAATGCTACCACCTCTGCAGAGGGGAGTCTGACAATTCTAACAAAATTCCAGGTGCATCCGTCCTTTGGCTCAGGCCCCTTGCTTGTAGACATTAATCCACAGATAGCCTGGCACAAGTACCAGTGAGATACAGAGAAGGCCATTCATTCTGGCACTACCTGTATGAACAAAAGGCTAAAAACAACTCCAGCCTCCCATCTTGTCCTCTTTCTGTTGAGTCTGCTTCTTCACGTCCTCTTTCTTTCTTCCCACATGTCCCACCCCCAGAGGCTGGATGAGGCACACCACAGACATACAAGTTCCTGCTGCCACCATCAAGGCCTTACAGTCTAGTCACAGGAGGAATCTCACAGGCAGAGGAGTGCAATAAAGCACAAATCTATGGCCACGCTCAGTGGCTCAGCTTGTAATCCCAGCACTGGGAGGCCAAGGTGAGTGGATCGCCTGAGCCTGTGGGTTTGAGACCAGTCCAGGCAACTTGGCAAGACCTTGTCTCTACAATAAATCAAAAAAATTAGCCAAGTATGGTAGCACATGTCTGTAGTTCCGGCTTCTTAGAAGGCTGAGGCGGAAGGATTGCTGGCACTCAGCAGGTCAATGCTGGGATGGCCATGTGTGTGCCACTGTACTCCAGCCTGGGCGACAGACTGAGACTCCAACTCAAAAAAAAAAAAAAAAAAAGCACAAATCTAGCCAGGCATGCTGGCTCCCGCCTGTAATCCCAGCACTCTGGGAGACCAAGGTGGGAGGATCACAGGAGGCCTAGATCAGCCTGCACATTGTAGCAAGACCTGGTCTCTACAAAAAATTTAAAAAATCAGCTGGGCATGGTGGTGTGCATCTGTAGTCCCAGCTACTCGGAAGGCGGAGGCAGGAGGATTGCCTAAGCTCAGAAGTTCAAGGCTGCAGTGAGTTATGCTCACACCACTGCACTCCAGCCTGGGTGACAGAATGAGGCTCTGTTACAAAAAATACCCTAAACCATAAAACAACAAAAAAGCATAAACCTGTCTACCATGGGGAAGAGTCCACACACAGACAGTGCAGGTGTCCACTGTCCTGTCAGCCTTAAGGTAACACACAGCCACTCCCTTCCAAGATAAGCACAGTAACTGGCATCGATCCTTGAAAATGGAAGAGTATCTCTCTGCATGAAATACTTGAACATAGAGTAGATAAGACAGACTGTGACCATTCTTCTCCATGCAGCTCAAAGTCCGGGAGGACAAGGTCTGTGAAGGATTTGCTCACCGCCCACTCTGAGAGCTGGCATGTGGCAGTGCTCAGGACATGCTGGGGAAGGAATTCAGACCGTCTACTGGAGTGCTTCCCTTCACAGCTGGCATGCTTGCCACCATGCCTGTGTCCACACACACAGGACTGACATCAGCCCTGTGGTCAGATGCATTAAAAACCCACAGCAGGGAAGCAAGGCCTATAACTGGATCGGAACAGAATTAAGGAATTGCCCCAGAGAGGACTGCAGAGGGCGAGAGGATAACCCGCAGCCGTCCAACTGCACACTTACACTTTCTGGTCTTGCTGCAGCAACAGAGCAGAAAGGTTGCTCAGCTGGATGACGAAGATTGCAAATTGCTTATTCTTCTCATCATACCTGAAATGAAAAGGGGCATTTGGAGCACCCGTTAGTCACACACTGATCTCCCACACTCCTTCTCTGCTAATAATCACAGGACCGGGCTGCCGGCTGCTCTGGGGACTGTGGGAAGCCAGTGAGCACAGTGCTTTGCTCCCATGAAGGGAGGTAGGTCCAGAACTGTTAGTTGCCTGAATTTTTAAAGGAAGGCAGAAGTCTGGGTGAAATTTTTTGATATCAAAACATTGGCAATTTATTCCTATTTTTAAAAAAATGGAGGCTCGGCACGATGGCTCGTGCCTATAATCCCAGCACTTTGGGATTACAAAGCAGAAGGATTGCTTGAGCCCTGGGCAACATAATGAGACCCTATCTCTACAAAAAAATATAAAATTTAACTGGGCGTGGCACTCGTCTGTAGTTCCAGCTACTCAGGAGACAGAGGTGGGAGGATCGCTTGAGCCCAGGAGGTTGAGACTGTAGTGAGCTGGGTACAGCCCTGTAGCCCAGACCTTGTCTCAAGAAAAACAAACAAAAATTAAGGTCATCTCCTAGTAAGAGGAAACAACAATGTGTGTATCAACCAACTCGGGCTGCAGCCCCCAGTGGTCAACTTCAGTCCTGATTGTTGATATGTGGATAGGATGGAAAGGCAAAAGCGATAGCGACAAATGAACACAGCCAGAGGCAGGAGGTCTCCATCGTGGTTCTGGCTCGGCTACATGCCAGCTCAGGAACTGAGGCAAGTCACAAGGTCTTTCAAACCCCATTTTTTACATCTGTAAAATGGGGAGCTGGAAGGTGGGGAAAGAGTTGGTACCCCTTGAGTTAGGAGCCCACCTAACTCAAGGTCCTGCTGGTTTTGCCTTCCTCCCTGGACAGCTGAGAAGGTAAATGCTGGTAAAATACTGTCGACAAAGAAGGGATGCCACACAGATCACTCCTTCTGTCCTCATCTTCCCTGTCACTTACTTCAGAGCAAGTTGAACTCGGGTTGCACCCACTGCTTCTGATTCATCACTGTCAAATGCAGCAGCTTCTGAAGCACCCAGTCTGAAAGGCAACAGGGAGGAGTCAGCGACCTGCTCTAGGAGGCTGGGGTTCAATCCCTAAGGAGGAGACTTGGGATCTGCTCAGCCTCCCTGCAGACCCCTCTCTTGACGAGGCCTCCTTTTCTCTCATACATGTTCCCAAGTACACACCTCGTCATGACTGCCACCGACCTAGCACTCCCCCCAGCCTGCGGGGAAAGATGGAATCACGGAGTACCCTCCTGGGGCTCCTCCTGCACGCCTGTGGGGGCCGATGCCCAGGCCACCCCTCAGGCCTGGGTTCTGCATGTTCAGACAGTTCGTGGCCCACATGGACTGAGAGAGAGCTCCCCTCAGGCACCCACCTCTGCGCAGAAGCCTCGTACACACCACTGTCTCCCGCCACGGACTCATCCGACACTGCAGCTGAGACACAGGCCACTTTGAGGCCACAGCCCTGGGCCATATTCACAGCTGGAAGAGAATCAAGGAAAAAAGAAGGATGGAAAGTCAGGTTCAGAAACCAGACGACTTCTTGCAACCCCTGATTGTGACCCACCCTCTGTCAAGACAGTCCTGTGGAATTCCAACCACCTGTAAACTCTAAAGTAAGGTACCACTTTGCTTTGGGGTGATAGAAGCAGTGCATAGGATTTTGTGTTTATTATCCTAGGCTCTGAAGTCAAACTGCCTGGGCTCAAATCCCAGCTCCACCACTTACTGCTTCATGACCTTGAGACATTGATTTAGTCCCCTTGAAGGTCCAGATTCCTCATCTGTAAAATGGGAATAATACCTACTTTACAGGACTGTTGGAAGGACTAGTGAGACATTACTGGGGGCAGGCCCTAGAATAGGGATTGGTGCAGGCAAGATGTTCCCAAAATTCATTACCATCATCCTTACTGCCACTATTACTTCTGTCACAATGGGATGACTCCCTAGATCCATCCCTAAACACCCAGGGCAAAATAACAGCTCCTGAACCCTCAGGAGGGGCAAGGGAGGGATTAAAGCATGTGTCCTCCCACTCGATCTATCCCATTCACTATTTTATTTTATTTTATTTATTTTTTGAGTCAAGGTCTCACTCTGTCTCCCTGGCTATAGTGCAGTAGCATGATCATGGCTCACCGCAGCCTTGACCTTCTGAGCTCTAGCGATCCTTCTGCATCAGCCTCCCAAGTAGCTGGGACTACAGGTGCATGCCACCATGCCTGGCTAATTTTTTTTTTTCATTTTTATTTTTTGTAGAGATGAGTTGTCGCTGTGTTGCCCAGGCTGGTCTCGAACTCCTGGGCTTACACAATCCTCCCGCTTCGGCCTCCCAAGGTGCTAGGATTACAAGCATGAGTCACTGCACCTGGACTCCATTTCACTCCAGATCTAGCTCCTCCTCTTCCCGACCCTTAATAGGGGTCCTTGAAAGTCTCTGACCTGGGGCTTATAACTGAGCACTTGCCACATGTTGCACATTCCTTCCTTGCCCAAGTAATGAACACCTACAGTGTGCCAGGCCCATTGCCAGGTTCAGAGTTATCAAGATGATAACAGTTCCTGTCCTCCATGTGCTGGGGCTCCTCTTGCAACCTCACAGCCAAGTCTTCTGAGTGCCCGTGGACAGACTAGAGAGGGACAGGTGCTGACTAGAGAGAGACAGGTGCTTATGGCGTGGAAAGGCTCAAAGACACGGCGTGGCAGGCTGGGGACCGGCCTGGGGGACGAGGCGAGCCTGGAAGCCTGCAAGTGCTGATGATGGGGAAGCCGAGCCCATGTCCCAGGCCTGCTGAGCCTGCAGAGACCTCCCGTCTTCAGACTCACGCATCTCCACCCTCCACTAAACCACTTAAGGAGATTAATTCGTCTGCTGACTGAGCAGCGGCACTAATCGCATAACCTGCTTAGCGTCTGAGCTCTGCCTGGCATTGTGCGCTGTGGGGAAGGTGTCTGGAGATGGCACGAAGGGAATGCCATCCCGAGACCCGTGTGTGCCCAGCTACATGTCTATCTCTGACCCACAAGCCCTGAGGACAATGTCAAGGAGAGGAGGGGAGTCACTTCCCAGGAGACGGCTGGGGTCTAAGTGTCTGGAATTGGCTTAATGCCCCCATCAGAGACACTCGTTAGAGGTTCCACCTGTCCCCCCTCTCCTCTCCAGGGAACAATTTTCTGAAGTTTGCCACCTGCTGTAGTGGAAAGCTTGTTTTTATTTTTGTTTAAGAGCACTCAGCAAGGCTTCCTTTCCAATGAGGGAACCCCAGGGATCTCTCGCTACTCTTCTAAGGAAACCAGAGCCTTTATTTAACCAAGAATTCTCATTCCCCCATGCTCCCATGGGCTCCTGCCCATGAATGGACAATTTGGGTCACAGCTGCGGTGCTCCTGCCTATGCCTGGAGTGGAGAGCCGAAATGGGTTTGGCTGCTTCCAGCTGGCCTCACAAGGAGCCAGGAGCATGGGCCCTTTGCAACACCGGGCCTGTGGTCCTTGTACCAGTCCTCATCCTACTGCTTCACTGTGTGGGACTAACCTCAGACAAGTCTCTTAACCTTGCCGTGCCTCACTTTTTCCATCTGTAAGATGGGGACAAAAACAGCATCCACTTCACAGAGATGTTGTGAGACTTAAATGACTAAACATGCACAACCAGTACTTGAATTCTGTACACCCGCACTCAATAGTGCACAGCTGTTATTGTAGGGGGGTGCCAGGAAAGCCAAGAAACTCAGGGGAGCTTGCTGAGTACTCTACTTGTCCCGACCTTTATACCAAGAGTGAGGTGGACTTGGTGGCGCCAGCAAGCACCAGCAATGTCACATGAATAAATATACCAAGCTGCTGCCCATCCTAAGTGGAGGGGAACGGGGCACGATAATAAAGTCAGAAAGACCCAGTTTCCAATCTCAGTCCTCACTTGTTAGCTGGGTGGCCTAAGGCAAGTGACACTCCTCTCTGAACCTCTGATTCCTCATTTGTAAAATGGACAGACTAGAAGTAACCTATTTCACCATATAAAGCACATTGTCCAGCACATGACACATTCCCAATACATGCTAACTATTATGACTTATCATGTGGTTACTGTTTAAGATAAAAAGTTATTCTCCTAATAAATCTTAGCTGTCAATGCCCATGTCAGTATCACCTTCTATTTTGAAGATTCTAAAATGGATCTCAATCTAGACCAGAATGTTCTTTGTGACTCCGTGGAGAATGAAAGTCAGTTCGTACCATTCCTGGCTTCATGGTCACATGGTCTCCACTGTAGTCAGGATAAAACTCACACTCTTCACCACAGCCCATCGAGTCTTGCATGATCTGGACTCTTCCTGATTCTCCAGACTTGCTGGTGAGCCCTCTCTCTGACTCGCAGCTTCCTGGCTCCTCTTTAAGCTCATTGCTCTGACCTCAGAGATTTTGTTCTTGCTCTTACCGAGGCTGGTTCCTTCTCACCATTCGAGCCTCTATTCAGACATCACCTCCTGTCACAAGTCAACCTGAACCAACAGCCCCATCTCCAACCTGAGAGGTTCCATCACACCCCATTTTATTTTCTTCCTAATGCTTCTGTCTGGTTTGCATGTGAATTGCCTGTGCTCCATTTATTTTTTATTTTTTATTTTTTTTTGAGTTGGAGTCTCACTCTGTCGCCCAGACTGGAGTGCAGTGGCCGCTACCGGCCACCGCAGCCTCGACCTGCTGGGCTCCGGCGATCCTTCCGCCTCAGCCTTCCAAGTAGCCGGAATTACAGGCATGCACTACCACACCCGGCTGATTTTTTGATTTATTGTAGAGATGAGGTCTCGCTGCCCAGGCGGGTCTCGAACCCGCGGGCTCAGGCAATCCACTCACCTCAGCCTCCCAAAGGCACAGGATTACAGGCTGAGCCACTGAGCCCGGCTGCCTGTGCTCCATTTAAATGTAAGCTTCATGAGAACAGGGACGTCGTCTGGCTTCAACACAGGATTGTCAGTGATTAACCCAATGCCTGACACACAGCACATCTGCTAAGTGGAATCTATATATACCCATTAGCACAGAACTCAGCACTTAATTTTAGAAGGCACTATCTGTTGATTGAATGATTCCATACAGTAAGACCTCATCCCTACAAAAAAAATCAAAAGAGTTAGCTGAGCATGATAGTGGCGAGCTATTTGGGAGGCTAAGGAGGAAGAACCTCTTGAGCCAGGAAGTCGAGGCTGCAGTGAGCTGTGATCATGCAACTGCACTCCAGCCTGGGCAATGGAGTGAGACTCTGACTCAAAAGAGTTTATGAGCTGGGTATAGTGGGGCTCACACCTATAATCCCAGATGAGGCAGGAGGATCGTTTAAGGCCAGGTGTTCAAGACTAGCCTGGGCAACATAGTGAGACCTTGTCTATATTTTTAAAAAACTATTAAAAAAAAAAAAAACCCACCACAAAAAATTCTTCACACAGGACCTAGAACATACTGAGCTGATATATATCTACTGAATGAACGAATGAACCCACCATGGAAAAGAGCTGGCAATAGAAAGCAGTCAGTAAATGTCAACCATAATGATCACTGGGGCTTCCGAGCACAAAGCACTGCTTTCCCTCCTCCCAGGTCCTACCCTCTGGATTCGGCGTGCCCTACCTTGGCCCAGCTGCTGGCCCTCGGTTCCTGGCTCCTCCAGCTGGTATCTTTCCTGGGTGCTGCTTCCAAGGCTCAGTTCGCAAAGGGTGGTGCTCAGCTCGGGGTCTTCAAACTCCAGGGGGCTAAGGAAGGCATCCCCAGCCAGGAGGGGGTCGGCAATGAGAGGGGAGCAGGGTGGGGATGGGGAAGAGAGCGAGGAGCGTGGGGACAGCGAGGTCATGGACTTGGGGGTGCCAGACAAGGAGCGCAGGGCCTGCAGGCGGCCGCCACCTTCCACCTTCTGAGTCTTGGCCACCTCGTCCTCGTGGATGGTGGTGATGCAGCCCGAGGGCCGGAAGCCCGTGGCCCCCTCCAGAAGGAACTCCACCTTGCTCTGCAGCTCCGAGTCCAGCTGCTCGAAGGGGTCGTAGTAGAGGTCTGTGAAGCTGGCTGAGGTGGAGGAGTCCAGGCTGGACGCGGCTAGGGAGCCCCGGCTGGACGCAAGGGATCCAGGGCTGCTGCCTGAGGACAGGGACTGCATGCTGCTTGAGAGGCTGGCACAGGGGGAATGGAGAGTGAGACATGCGAAATAACTGGGCCCCCCAGGGGCTTCCTGCCCAGCTCTGGGAAGCACCATGGTCTCCCTGGACCCGCCTGGCAGTCTCTAGTATAGACCCTCCACCGCCATTTCACTGAAAACTGTCACCTCTAAACCTTCATCAGTCACACTATATTTTCATATTTTTTCATACATGAATCCATTCCCAAATAATATTTCTTTCTTCCTTCTTTATTTATTTATTTATTTTTGAGTTGAAGTCTCATTCTGTCACCCAGACTGGAGTGCAGTGGCATGCTCCCGGCCACCACAGCCTCAACCTGCTGGGCTCTGGTGATTCTTCCACCTCAGCCATCCAAGTAGCCAGAACTACAGGCACACGCTACCATGCCCAGCTATTTTTTGATTGATTTTAGAGACAAGGTCTCACCAAGTTGCCTGGACAGGTCTTGAACACACGGGCTCAGGCAATCCACTTGCCTCGGCCTCCCAAAGTGCTGGGATTACAGATTGAGCCACAGGACTCTTTTTTTTTTTTTTGAGTTGAAGTCTCACTCTGTGGCCTGGGCTGCTGGAGTACAGTGGCACACTCACTGCCACCCCAGTGTTGACCTGCTGGGCTCAGGCAATCCTTCCGCCTCAGCCTTCCAAGTAGCTGAAAATACAGGCACACGTTACCACACCCGGCTAATTTTTTGACCTATCATAGAGTTGAGGTCTTACCAAGTTGCCCAGGCTGGTTTCGAACCCATGAGCTCAAGCAATCCTCTTGCCTCAGCCTCCCAAATTGCTGGGATTACAGGCTTGAGCAACGGCACCCAGTCAATAATATTTCTTAACATTTTTCTTGAAACCAATGTTTTAAGTACTTTAAAACATTTATTTTAAAAGTTAACTTTATATCTTGAGTGTAATTTGAAAAGCAGGATCATTACAAATAGAAGGTCTCCATTTAAAAAAAATCAGATGAAAACAAAATGCTGTTATGAAATTCCAGCAACATACTGTCATATAGAGGCCCAGGCCTGAGGCTACTCTATGTGTTGCACAGGTAGGTGGCACATGTGAGAGCCACAGCTTAGGACATCACAGCACCTGCCTGGGGCCTTCTTCTCTATGTTATAAGTCTGGAGAGGTGAAGGCCCCCACCCCTGGCCACATCACAGACCAAGCCTGAGTCAGCAAGTCAGCCAGACTAACCACCTGCTGTGTATTTTTTTCTTTTGGAGTTAGGATCTCGCTTTGTTGCCTTTGCTGGAGTGTAGTGGCGCAATCATGGCTTGCTGCAGCCTGGACCTCCTGGGCTCAAGCAATCCTCCTAAGTCTCCGAGTAGCTGGGACCACAGGTGTGTGCCACCACCCCTAATTTTTTCCCCATTTTTTGTAGAGACAGGGTCTCACTATGTTGGCAAAACTGGTCTTGAACTCCTGGGCTCAAGCAATCCTCCCGCCTCAGCTTCCCAGTATACTGGGATTACAGGTGTGAACCACCATGCCCAGCTGGCCTGCTGTGCTTCTAAATGTCCATGCTCGAGTCACAGAGGACAAGTAAAAAATAGAGCCTGGGTTGGGACACTGGGGACACTCCAGTGTGGCCATCTCCAGGGGAGCAGTGACCCTAGCATATGACTCACCTCTTGAGCTGAGAGTGCAGAGTTGCCACCTGGCGAGTGGCTTCCTCCAGTTCTCTCACCAGCTGGTTTCTCTTGCTGTTTAACTTTAACCTAGGGGGAGAGAAGGGATGAGGGGGATGCCCAAGGGAATCCATCCCTCCAGCGCCCCCAAAGGAAGCACAAGCATGTACACTTACAGATGTACACACAGACTCCTGACACACACCCAAGAAATGTACTGTGGTGTTTGGGGAGATATAGCCTCCACGTATATTGCAATCCTATAGTAATTGCTTTATCACTCACCTGCTATAGACCAGGCACCATGCTGGGAACCTTATGACACCGCCTTAATTCAGTTACACAATAAAGCTGTTCGGTAAGAATAATTTTTACTACTTTACCTAAGAGGAAATTGAGGCCCTTAGAATTAAATAATTTAGTTAAAGTTATGAAGCTAGTGGCAGAATTAGGATTCCCTCAGCCCTCCCTCTCCTTCTCTCCATCCTTCTCTTTCCTGCCTTTGACTCATATGAACTGGGTGCCTCCCTCACACTAGACCCCGGCCTTGGCACTAGGGATAAGCAGTGAGCACAGCACAACTGGTTTCTGCTCTTATGGAGCCTGCATTCTACTGGGGAAGGGGGGTAGTTTGGGGAGGAGAGAGATTAAAGAAATACTCAGATATCCTATTAACATAGTGTATGACGAGGTCCATGAGGAAAAAGTACACAACGGTAAAAAGGAACATGAAAGGAGAGTCTTGATCCACACCAGCAGGTGAGCTTCTTTGAGCAAGTGATTTTATGGCTGGGACTGGTAGCCTCACGGTTATCTGTGACCTCCCAGGCCCAGTTTGTGATTGGACCTCCTTCCCAGCCTTGTGGCCGGGTGGGGCATAAGATTAACTGGATGGGCGAGGCATAAGACCCAGTTCTAGCCAATGGGATGTGAGCAGAAGTGATATGCAAGTCTCAGGCTGCATGTCACAGTCTCCTGAAAGGACTCTTAAGGCTTCAAAGGGAGGTTGCCACAGATAGAAAGAGCCTGGCTTCCTGAATGGTCACAAGGAAGGCTGCCTGTGAACCAGGAATGCCCAATTAGACATTACATGAGCAAGAAGTCAAATCTATTGTGTGGCCCACAGAGATTTTGGGGGCTGTTTCTTATAGCTGTTAGATTCTCACCTAGGAGAGAAATCGAAGCTGATATGATAATGGACAGGAGTTGCCCAGGAAAAGCACAAAAAGAAAGAACATTCCAAGCAGGGGGTTTAGCAGAGACTTCATCTTGAGGTCACCATGGTTGCTGTGAGGACAATGGACTGGAGGCCGGAAACTAAAGGCAGCAAGGGAGTCTGGGGTGGTGTAACTGAGATGATGGGGACTCGGGGAATGCTGGAGGAGACAGTGCATGGGTTGGACAAGGGAGAGGCCGAGGGACAAAATGAGGAAGGCAGCGAAGTACTGCCATGGGTAGCAGATGGACCTGGAGATGGCACTTGCTGAGATAGAAAGGTAGGAGACAGCCCAGGGGAAGAGTTCTGTGATGGACATGTGGATATGAACACTGAACAGGCAGCTACTGTGAAGGGGTGGGGGCCACCATCATCTATATCACCACAGGAATGAGATTACCATCTGTTTGGGCTGATTTCTGTCCCCATAAAATCCATATGCTAAAGTCCTAATCTCCAGAACCTCAGAATGTGATTATATTTGGAGACAGAGCTTTTAAGATGTAATTAAGGTAAAATGAGATGCTTAGGACAGACTCTAATCCAATATGACTGGTGTTCTTATATGAGGAGATTAGGGCACAAGCAGAAAGGAAAGATCATGTGAAGACAGAGGAAGAGGGGGGGGCCATCTACAAACCCAGAAGAGAGAACTCAGAAGAAACCAACCCTGTTGACACCTTGATCTTTAACTCAGTTCCCAAGACTGTGAGAAAACACATTTCTGTTGTTTAAGTCACCCATTTTTTTTTTTTTTTGAAAGCAGGGTTTATTGAGAGGACAGAAAAGCTCCCACAGTGGGAGGGTACCCGAGGGGGTTGCCTAAGCCACCCATTCTGTGGTATTTGTTATGGCAGCTCTAGCAGACTGATATTATATAGTGGGGGGACCAAGGAAAACCTAGGCCCAAGTTCTGATTATACATAACATTCTGAGGTTGACTGGACTAGCAGGAAAACAGTAAAGGATCCAGAGAGCATGGGCCCCCAGAAGGCCAGAAGGAAAGGCTGGTGAATGTGATGGAGTGTCATGGAAGGAGCAAAGATCTGTACCCAGGTACTTGTGATACCAGAGCCCAACTCAGTATCTACCTCCCTGGAAGCAGAATCCTGTGCTTGGAAGAGACCTCAGCATTCCAGCCCATATCTCAGCTCCTAACTTCTCCTGAAATTCCCCATGGAGGTCAGCCTCCTGCCTGGGCTCCAGGGTATGTGGTGGAATGGCTCCCTATAACCCCTGGATTGGGACCACTACAATAAAAGGGCCCATCAAGCAAACTGTGCCCCGACAAACTCAAGGCTTGGGCTGCTCTGGTACATTCACTAGACTCGTGGCTCTCACCTTGTGGTCACAGACTACCTGCATCAGAAGGGGGAAGGGTGCTTTTTAAAATGCACAATCCTGGGCCCTACCTTGGCCTGCCGAATCCAAAAGCCCAGGGGTAAGGGGTAGGGCCCAGGAATCTGCCTTTTCCTTAGGCCTCCCAGGTGATGTTAAGGCACACCAAGGTTTACGAGGCTGTCCTGACTAGGAAGCAGAGGCTGTGTCTTGCTTGCCCAGTACCCAGCCCAGTACCCAGTGCATGATCATGTTCAAGATTTGCCCAATAGATGACTTTCCCCCAGATGATGCAGGCCAAGTACATGAGCTCTGCTGAAAGACCTGCACATGACATCTCCCATGGCTGGGTAGGCTCCACTGCTGGCCCATCATCCCCTCATGCCATTCTGTGGGAGGGAGACTGACCCGTTGCTCCCTGGATGGAGAGGTCCACCCAGGGCACAGCCAACACAGCCTGGGGTTTGGGTGAAAGAGCCCATTTCCTGGAAAAACCAAGCCATTCCATCGCTCCACCAGCACACCCAAGCCCTGGATACACAATCTGCAATGAAGACCAGGGCTTGCCCTAGACACACTGAAAAGTATTGAAGGGCTGTTACTGGGCAACTGAACCTGTAAAATTACAGGCAAGACAACTGGAGCAGCAGGCAGGGTGGCCCTGGCATGATTCTTGGCCAGCTCAGACCCTGGCGCTGTTCTTCCAGAGTCCTGCCCAAGGCTGCTGGAGGTAGACAGCAGGCTGGCTGATGGAGCCCAGAATTAACAAAATCCTTGACTCTCAATGGAATGAACAAGGCTGTGGAATCTCTTGGCCCTCCCTAAAAGCAAAGCCCAGAAGGGTGTGAGGTCTAGGGTCAGGGAGTAGCTGGGCCTCACTGCTTCTACTTTTGTTTTCTGGCGTGTTCTGTGAATAGATGCAGGCCCCCATCAGAGCCTCAACAGGACACCAAGGGAACTGGGAGCTGGGCCGCTGTGACTTCCTGAGCATGGGGGTTTAGCTGCCCACAGCAACATGCAGCAACGGCCGCCTCCCAGTGGCGCTAGGCTTAGCAGGCCAGATGGCATGTGTGTGACATCTGACACATGCTGGGAGGTCAAGAACACATCAAGCGTGGAAGCAGGCAGAGGATCCAGAAGGCAGGGCTAGAATCCCCACAAGCTGCAGCTCAGCATCTGGGGTGGTTAAAAATGCAAGAGCCTGGGCTGCATCTCAGGTCCAAAGAATCAGTCCCTGGGGTGGGCCAGGGAGCCCACATGATAACAGGCATCCCTCATGACTGCACACCAGCTCTGGAGCAGCAGGGAGAGCTCTCAGGAGGGCAGGAGGATACAGAGGAGAGGGCCAGGTTGTAAGGACACCTGCAACTCTGACTAATTCATGATTGGGGCCTGGCAGGTCCTGCAGTTTGCCTCGGCTGGGTGTGCCTATTGCTGTCCTCAAAGGCACCTAGAATAGGAGGGGACATCGTGTGAAGAGGAGGAGCATAATAATCCCATTTGGAGAGAGAAAAGGGGAGAAGAGAAGGAGAGAGAGAAACAGAAACACTGAAAATAAAGATAGGCGTGCGTGTGCACATTCACACAGGCGAGAAACAAAGGCAGACAGAAAGAGACCTAGCAAGAAGGGAGACAGAACACCAGAGTCAGAGGGAGGAACAGACAGACAGACATGGTGCTGGAAGAAAACGGCTGTAGACAAAGACAGCAGGTGGCCTTCCTTCTCCCTACTGCGGGGGCTCACAGTCATCAGCACAGCACCCGCTTCCATGGGCTCCCTCCTCAGGTTCCTCTCAGGGAACCTGCCCACGCACACTCTGGCTTCCCTCCGGCTTCCCTCCTATTGCATTTGCTCCAGAGCATCCTGTCCTACAGGCCCTCCGAGTTGCCAGCTCAGCAGCTGTGGAGAAGTAGAGATTCTGGCCTCCCTAGACTGGCTATATGGACGAGCCTCTCCAGGGGAGCCAGCACACCTTTGAAAGAAGGAAATCATCAAAGACCTCTGAGTGGGCAGCAGCCTAAAGTGAGCAGGTGCCTGCAAGCCTGGGGGCTTCTAATCCCAGCTCCATCGCTCGGTGAAGTCGGGTGAGCCTCAGTTTCCCTATCTGGAAAATGGGAATTATTCTACGGGTTACTGAGAGGTTCGAATGGGATGATATAGGTTACATGGTCTGGTACATAATGGTAGCTTTCATATATGCTACATCTTAGGGGTCCCTAAGAGAACCTCCTATCCTTGATTTAAGAAACCAAAGTTTTTATAGCAGGGAAGAGACTCCAATTCGCAATCTGATCCAACTGTCTGCCTGTGGACTATTGAGGTATTCACTGTAATTATAGTAAATCTTCAATTAACATCATATACAGGTTCTTGAAGCAAAATGACATATAGCAGGTTCTCAAATAAAGTCATTTTGTTATAATGTTGATTTGAAGACTAGGTTTCATTATATGTCGTTTTGCTTCAAGTCACAGTTTCCAAGAACCTACTGACGATATAAAATGAAGACTAACCATATCCTTTTTTTCCCCAATGGAAAAGGTATCTCTTTTGACCCAATGAGGAGTAAGGCTGCCATGAATCTGTTCTCTTCAGCTGCTGCCTGGGAGGATGATGAGTAGCTAAGAGCCTCTCAGAGGCAGTTATAGTGTCTGGGAGCAGGTGAGGATGCGTGCAGAGGCCCAGAAAGGGTTTCCGTACGTCAGTTAACCATGTATTCTTTCAACTAACACTAAAGGCATGAAGGCATATAGACACAGGTCTTGTCCCCAAAGTGCTCAGTTCCAGGGAAAGCAGAACAGAGTGTCTTAGAATTCTAGCAGGTGCTTCCAAGGGCTGCAAGACACCAATTATTCAAGTTCCATCCTTCTCCTCCTTCTCTCGCCCACCTAGTGGTGGGGCAGGACTAATCAGCCACTCGTGCCAGTGGAGGATGGAAGAGAGGAAATAGATACACTTGGACATTCCTATGAGCAGCTCTGAGAAAGCAGTTGGTGGGGAGAGAGTCCCACCATCAACCAGTCAAGGGGATCTGAAGCCGTGAGAGGCCAGGAAGAGGCTGGTCAACTTGACCCATCTGGCACCATGAGCAAGTGTGGCTTACTCAGTCGTGAGGATGGTACTATAAGCTGGGTATCCTAGGGCTCAAGGGCTCCCTGAAAGACCCAACATGGGTGACACAGTGAGAGCATATGTAGGCATCTAGGACTGCCAGGCTGCTACAGCTGAAGCACAAGCCTGTTTACCTGCTTTGCCAACTGGGCTTCTGCCTTTGATTTCACTAAAAAAAGAAATTCTCTTGCTCATTGCTGTCCACATATATACACATAAATGAAAATCACCAGATTCAATTATAAGTTCCTTCAGAGTAGGGACCTTGGAGAATAAAGGCTGCTGCCAAACAAAACAAAACAAAAAACAACCCAAAACAAGAATAGATTTAAAGGTCACAAGGTCTTGTTAATTTCTGAATCCCCAACTGCCTTGCACACACAATACATATAGGAAAGTGTTTCTTAAATAAATGAGTAAGTTCTGACTGATGAACAGGAGGAATGAATGAATGTAACTGGGGACTGTGGGAACTCCTGGAAACATGGTGTTGCATTCTGTGCAATGTGAGTGTGGAGGTAAGCAAGGACACTGAAGGAAACAAGCGAAGACCATGTCTGTTATAAGGTCTATAGCAAAGAATGCAAACCGGTGGTGTTTGGATTATAGCAAGCCCACAGATGAAGCTGATTCACAGAATTTTTTAAAATTGGACTAGTTGTTAATATTTAAAAATTAAAAATCCAAACAACTCTCTTGTTTGAAATATAGGGACCACTGGCAACACGGGGCCTGTGCTCCCACTTGCTGGAACAGGGAGATAGCACCTGCTTTGTTTTTTTATTTTTATTTTTTTTTTAGAGACAGAATCTTACTCAGGCTAGAGTGCAGTGGTACGCTTAATAGCTCACTGTAACTTCAAGCAATCCTCCCACCTCAGCTTCCTGAGTACCTAGGACTACAGGTATGTGCCACCATGCCTAGCTAATTATTTTTATTTTTATTTTCAGAGATGGGGTCTTACTGTTGTCCAGGTTGGTCTCAAACTCCTGGCCTCAAGTGACCCTCCTGCCTCAGTCTCTCAAATCACTGGGATTATGGGCATAAGCCCGCACTGGCCAAACACTTGCTTTAGGACCATGGGATATATGCACTCCAGTCTGACAGGGTCCCCTGCTAGGTGGGCCTCTAGCATTTCCCTGACCTGCTCGGCCCCTCAAAGCTGGCCAGTTTGCACCTCCCATCTACATCAGTGTTTTTGAAACTGCAACTGCTTACTTAGCATGTGGTGAAGTCAATACGGTGGGTCAGGAACCCCATGAACAGAGATGCAACAGAAGAGGAAAGTATCAGAGGACCACCACATATAGAAGGTGTGTGCGCTGCCTCGTGAGCTTTGTGCATACTAGGCCACAGTATAAAATGTGCAGCGCTGTCACCAAGTTAGAAAACGACTGATCTAAATCAAAGTTATGTGGCTTACTTTAGTGAGAAGCTACATTTTTGGAAACCTGCACGGAAGCAGACTCCTTGGTAACGCAGCTCACCGTATAAAGCGCCATGGAGCGCACTGGATGGTGAATTCTTTTCGCCCAGGCTTACTACTCAGACAAGCTGTGAGATCTCTAAACTGAGTATGCTCAAGGTGGAGCCCGGGCGCTCCAAGGTTTCCCCCTCGCTTGTCCCCCACTGGGGCCTGGAGGATAGACCAGCCATGAGGGAGGGACCCACGTGCCCCCAGGGCCCTGCCCACCTCTCCGTCAGTGCCTTGCTCTGGGTGTCCCGGGCCATCTGCAGGTCTTTCTCCAGCTGCTTCCGGGCCATCTCCAGTTGCTCCACCTCCCCCTGGGTCCACTTGCAGGGGCTGATGAAACGCATCTCCTTCAGCAGCTCCTCCTTCTCATTGATGAGGATCAGCCGGTCCCTCTCCGAGTCTAGCACGCCAGGCCAGGCCTCACTGTCGAGCTTGGCCAGTTGGATCTTCAGATTGGCAATCCTGAGGGCCAAGAGGGCAAGTATGATGGGTGTGCCCAGTGGCATTGTGGGAATGGGGAAATAGAATGTGCTTCCAAGGTTATAAAGTACAAGGAGCCACGATGCCCTCAGCACAATCTTTGACAGTTAGTATCTTCCTTTTAATTAGCAGGCCATCTCAAGGAATGTTTTTTGTTGTTGTTTTTTTTTCCTACAGGCATGTGCCACCATGCTGGCTAATTTTTTAAATTGTTTTTAGAGATGAGGTTTTGCTATGTTGCCCAGGTTGGTCTTGAACTTCTGGACTCCAGCAATCTGCTTCCCAAAGTGCTAGGATTACAGGCGTGAGCCACCATGTCCAGTCAAGGAACATATTTTTATCTAAACTGCCTTGTGTGGGTGCTCACCACGTGCCAGCAGTGAAGCAGGCTCTGCAGAGGCGGGGTGCGGACGTGAACAAGGCAACGTCCTTGCCCTGAGAGATACCAAGCCTGGAAGGCTAGAGATGTGGACTCATTACCAAGCTATGGCCTCTTACCACTATCTGTGTGACCTATGGCAAGTCATTCATCTCTCTGAAAGCTTTTTTATTTTTTTATTTTTTGAGTTGGAGTCTCACTCTGTCGCCCAGACTGGAGTACAGTGGCTGCTCCCGGCCACCGCAGCCTTGACCTGCTGGGCTCCGGCGATCCTTCCGCCTCAGCCTTCCGAGTAGCCTTCCGAGTGCGCTACCACGCCCGGGTGATATTTTGATTTATTGTAGAGATGAGGTCTCGCCTGCCCAGGCGGGTCTCAAACCCACGGGCTCAGGCAATCCATTCTCCTCAGCCTCCCAAAGGCGTGGGATTACAGGCTGAGCCACCGAGCCCAGCTACTTTTATTTTTTTTAAAGACAGAGTCTCACTCTGATGCTCAGGTTAGAATACAGTGGTGTGCTCCTTCCTCATCAGGTTGTGATAGACGCTTTTACGACCCTATCTATAAACAGGCAAAGCACGGTATTTGGCACATAGGAAGTCCTCTATAAATATTTCTGCTGCTATGGTTGTTATAACCTGGTGCTACCTGTTATGACCCAGTAGGTGTGTATTATTGGGTAAACTCCTTTGCCTTTATTTATTTATTTATTTTTTGAGTTGGAGTCTCACTCCGTCGCCCAGACTGGAGTGCAGTGGCCACTCCCGGCCACCGCAGCCTCGACCTGCTGGGCTCCGGAGATCCTTCCACCTCAGCCTTCCAAGTAGCTGGAACTACAGCTGGAACTACAGGCACGTGCTACCATACCCGACTAATTTTTTGATTTATTGTAGAGATGAGGTCTCGCCAATTTGCCCAGGCGGGCCTCGAACCTGCGGGCTCAGGCAATCCACTCACCCCAGCCTCCCAAATGGCTGGGATTACAGGCTGAGCCACCAAGCCCAGCTTCCTTTGCCTTTAAAGATAAGAAAAACAACTACTCATCCATCAGAATGACCATGGAAATCAGCAATAATGTATTCAGAATGTCTGGCACATAACAGGAACTGAGTCAATGGCAGTCCTGGACCACGAGGACTACAATTACTGACCATGTGTCCTCAGTTGAGAGAGTGGTGGTGGTCAGAGGCCTGAAGTTGGGGTCCTGGTTCTGGCCTTCCTGACGGATTCATAAGAAATCACCTTGGTAGCACAAGCTTCTAGCACAGTGCCTGGTAAACTGCAGGTACTTAATAACTGTTAAAGAAAGGAGCTGGCAACCCTATCCCTTAATTTCTCTAAGACTAAGTATTCTCCTCTGTGAGATGGGGATGATGATGGTATCTACAGGGTAGGTTATGAAGACCAAATGAGAACACAGCATTAGGAACCCTTTATACATTGTCAAATATTATGTAGACATAAGGCATTATTATCACTGGGCCAAAATAAGATTTGCAGTATAACTAAGGCTATTGCTACAAATATCTAAAGGCAATCATGAAGTGATCCTTTAATGACTGGCCTCTGCAATGAGCTTTCAGGTCTCATGTCCTAGCCTGACCCCCATCCCGAAAGGGTGGGTAAGATAGGTGTTGTTAACCTTGTTGGACAGAGATGCTCAGGGAGGATATGGCACACTGACTACAAATCATAAATGTGACCAAGACTTGTTGAGAGCCCAGGCCTCTGGACTTCCAGTTCAGTTTTAGTTGCAGACAATATGGCCAAATTCTCATTTTATCAAAACATTGTTGGAGACAAGATTTCCCCATGGTGTACAACAAAAATTCCATACAGAGAAATACCAAAGTTTGCTCATTTCCCAGCCAAGTGCCCCAGCAGGAATTCTTATACAGTCAACCTTTGGCATCTGTAGGGGATTGGTTCACAGCTACCAAAATCCATGGATGCTCAAGTCCTTTATGTAAAATGGTATAGTATTTGCATATAACCAATTCCCATCTTTCCTATACTTTAAATCATCTCTAGATTACCTACAATACCTAATACAATGTAAATACTATGTAAATAGTTGCTATACTGTATTTTAAAATTTGTATTTTAAAAAATTGTTGCCTTGTCATTTTATTTATTTTATAAATATTTTCGATCCTTGGTTGGTTGAATCCACAGATGTGGGACATGTAGATATGGAGGACCAACTGTAGTTAATTTCATATTCATGGACACAGCAACCAATCCAGATTGGCTAGGGGACAGCTTTGCAGGTGCTGTTCTCCAGCACCTTGAGAACAGAATGGTGTGGAGTCAGGGATGGCAGGGGCTCCACCACACACAGGACACTGAGGAGTGACTGATGCTTTCTTGGAAGTACTTTCTAGGGTGTTTTCTCTATGCCAGTGCTCCTTAAATTTCAGGTCAGGCATCCTTAGGATAATCTGATGAAATTTACTAGTCTCTCTTCTCAGAAATGCACATGGGACAAAACCTGGCATACAATGATCAAACCTTCCTTGCATTACAGCCACCTCCCCTGCCCTTTTCAAGTCCTGCAGCCTCTGCTGTCTCATTGTGCAGGCTGCTCTGTCCCTTACACTAAAACTAGCTTTGGGTAAAAGGGAAGCAAGAAGCTGGAGAAGTTAGATGAGCCAGGAAGCTCTGTGACATGAAGTTTAATGGCTCAATGCCAGAGGGAAGAATTCAGTCCTTCAGTCTGCTCAGGATTGATCATCTAAGATACACATAACTACAAGATGAACTAGATCCAAGGTTCAGAGTGGTCCCCTTAAGAGGGGACAAGCAATTGCTATCTAAATATTGAAGTCCTGCTGTTTCGCTGAACCCCTGAGGGAGCTGAAATAGTATACAGTACATCTGTTCCTTTCTACCTAACCAGGACCCAATTCCTCCTGCTTTTGTTAATAATATTCCAATTTATCTTCAGGAAACCACTCCTTCCATACTTTCAAGTCATTTGTTTCCCAAGATGCTGACCCTTCCTAGCATTAAGCACATGACTCATGCCTGGACATTTAGAGAATTGTAATTTCCCCCGCCCCTTATTGACTTGCAACAGCAATTGATTGGTTAACCCCAAAAAAGTCAGTGGGTCTCAAATGCAAGACTTGTTTTTTGTTTTTGAGTTGGAGTCTCACTCTGTCACCCAGGCTGGATGGCAGTGGCATGCTCCCACCACAGCCTAGACCTGCTTGGCTCAAGCAATCCTTCTACTTCAGTCTTCCAAGTAGCTGGAATTACAGGCACGTGCCGCGATGCCTGGCGAAATTTTTTGATTTATTGTAGAGATGAGGTCTTGCCATGTTGCCCAGGCTGGTCTTGAACCCACAGGCTCAGGCAATCCTCTCACCTTGGCCTCCCAAAGTGCTGGGATTATAGATGAGAGCCACAGTACCCGGCTAAGACTTGTTAAAAGTGTTGGGAAATGTAGGGCCCTTTTCTACAGGGATGGCTAACCTGGTAGGATGGAAGCTCAGTTTTGCTAGGACTCCTCTTGCCACTTTGGCAGGAAAGACTGCTTGAGAGTAAACCCAACATAAAGGCAAGTACGGTGAGGAAAAGGAGAGAGACTGAGTCTATGGCACATCTGAGTCATATCTGAGTCCCTGGATCCAGATGTGCCTAAAACTAGCTAATCCTAGGACTTTGGAATTAACGAAGTCAATAAATTCCCCTTTTTTACTTTCTCTGGCTTCTATCTGATTGCTGCCATTGCTGCAAAGAGTTCTACTGTTCACATAGAATTAGGAGATGGTCAGAGCTAGGCACTGCCACATTCCATCTGGCCTGGCTGAAAAGGTCCTCGGGCCAGGTGGTGCAGTCTAAGGAGGAACAGATGTGATATGCCTCTCTGGGTTCTTTCCCGATAAGGCTGGCTCAGGTATAGGAAGATCATGAACTTAAAGCCACATTGTCCACGGTTCAAATTCTGTCTCTATCACCTGGAAAAGTCATGAAACATCCTGGGTCTTACTTTTCTCCTCTGTAACATGGATATAATAGGACAGATAGAATCTGTGTTATAAGGTTGCTTTTAAAATTAAATGAGAAGATATATGGACTAACGTTTGAGTACTATAAACAGTCTGTTTATGCCTATAAAAGACATTCTAAAAATGTCAGCTTTGATTATTTTAATGTTATTAGTGGTAGGAGAACCCAGCTGCTTAGCAGTCTGTGAAACTGTAGTACATCCAAATCCCTGTGGTCTATACTGTTTAAAAGCACATGCTGGGCACAGTGGCTCACACATTCAATCCCAGCACTTTGGGAGGTTGAGGTGGGAGGATCACTTGAGGCCAGGAGTTTGAGACCAGCCTGGACATCATAGCAAAACTTCATCTCTACAAAAAAAATTTTAATAATTAGCCAGGCATGGTGGCATGCACTTATAGTCCCAGTTATTCAGGAGGCTAAGGCGGAAGGATCGCCTGAGCCCAGTAGGTCAAGGTTGCAGTGAGCCATGATCGTGTCACTGCACTCCATCCTGGGTGACAGAATGAGACTTGACTCAAAAATAAATAAATAAAAATAAAAACACAGCTTGTTCCCAGTTATACAGAAGAAACTGAATTGAGTAGTCCCACAGTCTTTTTATCCTGTTGCTGAAAATTCCAGTTGTGCTGTTTCACACCAAACTGTTTACAGGATTGTTGAAAATCTTGATTCTGGAAACTGAGACAGGCAAGCAGGAAGATGACTAGGTGTAGGGGTGAAACAGACCTGGGCTCATAGCACAGTTCCACTCTCTGTCTAGTGATGAGTCCTGGGCAAATCAACTCCTCTCCAAATTTCAGAGAGGATAAAATATAAAGATGGTAAGACCTAGCTTCATAATCTTTGTGAGGATTAAACAAGATGAGGTGTGTCAAAAGCCAGGATCAGAGCAGTCATTCTACAAGAGTAGCCATTCTTGCTGGATCCATCCCGCCCCGCCCTTAATTACCTTCTCTTTGCCTCTTCATACCGAAGGCGCAACCTGACCTTCTCTGCCAGCTGATTGTTGCTGCTGGTGACGAACTGGAGGAGAAGAACAAAGTCAGGAATTACACAGTTGTCATGGCCAGTGCTGAGCTGGATTTCAAGAGCTCATGAGAGACTTGACAGCTTATGTGGGCGGTAGCCAAGGATAGCCCCCAGTAGTCCCTGTGCGGATCGTTAAGCAAAAATACTTTCCTCCCTTCAGGTTGCAGGGAGAGCCCTAAACTCACTCATCTATCACTTGGAGAATAGGAGCCAAAGGCCCAGAATGTCATCGTGCAGCCCCACATGGCTTGGAACCATGTCAAACCACAGAAGTGTGGAGGACACTTCGTGAGGAGGAAACAGCAACAGCTAATATACGAGGGGGACCCAAAAAACCCAGGAATTTATTTATAAAAATTGTGTATTTATTCTGACATGTTTAAACTTCAGTCACCTTCAAAGTACTCTCTGTCTGATATACTACACCTATCAAGATGCTTTTCTGCTGCTCAAAACAGTTTTTGAACTCAATTTTGATGCCGTCCGTCGTTTCTTGTTTCACCTCTTCCACATGAGCAAAACATTTCCCTTGGAGGACTTTTTTCATCCAGGGGAAACCAAAAAAAAGTTGCTTGGGACGACATATGGTGAATAGGGAGGGTAGGCACAGGGGTCATGCCATTTTTGGTGAAAAACTGCTGAACACTCAGCGCCGTGTGGACTGGTAAGCTTATAAATCACCCATCATGAAATGGGCAAATGTGTTGAAAGAATCTCCCTGCAAAACTAACTGAAACCAAACACAGCCTCTCACAACAATACTAGCTGGTACACTGATGCCAATGGGTTCCTAAAACACTTACCTAGTGGGGAAAGCCTGTACTACAAGGGGTCTACCCTTCAAAAGATAATTCTGGTTTTTCTGATTCCCCTCTTGTACAAGAGAGCCATTCTGAGGACTCTGGGGAGGGGATCAACAGGAATCTCAGAGGCTGCAGTCAGGAGTGAAATGCTGGGCGAGTGGGGCAGGCTCTAGAACGTAGAAGGAAGCATGCAGCTCCTTCATGAATGCTTTGGCCTGCAGGTGGCTTGTAGCTGGACACGTGGGTGATGTGGGAAGGAAGGGACAGCCTCTTTCACAGTGCTGGTCTATCAAGAGTAGCAAGAACCCAGCCACAAGGCTCGCCAGATCACATAAGGACATAGCTTCTCTTCAGACAGCTAAGGAAATGGGACAGGAATAGCATTTGGTGGTGGAGACTGGAGGCGGATTTGGTCAACGAAGTCTGCTCAAGTAAAGAGTAAAACAAAAGCTCTCCAAAAGTACGGATCACGGTGGCCTGGTCCTACCCTAACACCTTCAAGAGCTACATCTGGATAGCACTTTCACTGTTCATACCTAAGACCAGAATGAGCTTTGGAACCTGGAAGTCAGGCAGCTGCCTGAAGCTGTTCGTACTGTTTTGGGACTAATAGGGGGAAAATATCTTTTGCTTCCCAGTTGGTGAATGAAAACCAGAACAGAACCACAACACAGTATAAAAGAAACCAGAGTGACTTTGTCCTTTAAAAATGCTTTCTGTGCCAGGCACGGTGGCTCATGCCTGTAATCCCATCACTTTGGGAGGCCAAAGCAGGAAGACTGCTTGATCCCAGAAGTTCAAGACCAGCCTGGGCAACATAGTGAGACCCTGTCTCTAAAAAAAAAAAACAAACAAAATATTAGCTGGGTGTGGTGGCGCATGCCTATAGTTCCAGCTACTTGAGAGGCTGAAGCGGGAAGATCACTTGAGCCCAGGGGATAGAGGCAGTGATCGTGCCACTGCACTCCAGCCTAGGCAACAGAGTGAGGCTGTGACTCAAAAAAAAAAAAAAAAAGCTTTAATGCAGCATCTGGAGATATAAGTACCTGGCCAGGCAATACTCAGGACTGTGTCTGTTGGGCCTGGTTTTTCCTCCACACCGTCACATCATAAACTCCTGGAGCCAGGAGGTCTGGCAAGAGGACAGAGCTTGGAGGGCCAGGACAGCAGCCAGCCCCGCAGAGAGCCACTGGCCAGCTGCTCAGGGAACAGGGAAAAGACAGATGCCCCTCCCAGAAGCCTCCCAGCTGCCACAGGAAGTTCCAGGGCAGGCCCAGCAACTCACACTTCCCGAGAGGTCCGTCTGGGAGCTCACGTCCAGAAACTGTTTCGGCAGTGGGAAACCTGAACTCTCCAGAGAGCTGCTGCTGGACCACAGGTCTGAATGAGACCCTCTGTCAGTGCGGAAGCCATCCTTTAGCATGGCAAGGCTCTGGAGGGGGAGGGTGAGCAGGGTTAGTGATGTGCCCCCTGGGGAAGAAACACTGGGTCTGCCACACTTGGTGAGCTGTCCTCTCGACTTTTGCTAATTTAGAAACTCACACTTGTCCCAGACAGCCTGCTGCTCCTGTGACAGACAGACAGCAGCAAGGGGGCCCTTCCTGCGTGCCAAGCTCTATGCTAGGTCCTTGATGCAGGAGAGACCAGTATGAATGCTGACCTGCAGTCACACTGCCTGACGTGGAACCCCTGCTCTGCTGCTTCCTAGCTGTGTGATCTGAGCTAGCTGATCAACCTCTCTGTGCCTCAATTTCTTCTCCTATGAAATGGAGATGCCCCATATCACAAGTCCTATCTCACAGGCTACCATATGATTAAATGAGATGACAAGCATAAAACACTAGCTAACACAGCCCATACTCAATAACTATCAGCTTTGTCATCTTATTGAATCCTGACAACAGTTCTGTAAGAAAAGACCTATAATTAGGCCCAATTAATTGATGAGAAGCTGGCAACTGACAGAGTCAGGATTTGGATAGTCTATCTGACTTAAGGCTCTGTGCTCTTAGATGCTAATCATGGCAGGAACACACCTCACTGCCCATGGCACCTCGTCTAAGTGTTTTTACTGGGCTGCTGTCCTGGGTGGGAGCTTTGAAATTGTTCTGTCTGTCATAGAGCATAGAACTTCATTCACGAAGTCACTTATAGCATTGCTGAGCCTCAGACGCCTAACAGTAGGGACTGTAATAGAATATCTCAGAGGTTAGGGTAGTTCCTACCGGAGAGGTGGTATGTATAGAGGTAAGAGAATGGGCTTGGGTGCCAGGTGTTCATGGCTCCACCACTCCCTCTCTGAGTAGTGTGGTCTCTCTCTGTATAATGGGGATAAACCAGGGCTGATGCAAAAGACGAGGCATAATACATGCAAAGTGCTTGGCATGACTGTCTGGAATGTTACATGGAGCCTACCATAATTTGTATGGTGTCCAGCATAAAGGCAGAACACAAAATGACACGCTTCTAGAGATGCTACTTTTGGATGTCGAGGTTAATGATATTGAAACCACTGCCCTTCATTTGGTTCTTTGATAAATAAGCCAGGTTGGCCGGGTGCAGTGGCTCAAGCCTACAATCCCAGCACTTTGGGAGGTTGAGGCAGGAAGATTGCTTGCACCCAGGAGTTCAAGACCAATCAGGGCAACAGAGCAAGACTTCACCTCTACAAAAACAAAAACAAAAACAAAAACTAGCTGGCCTGTAGTCCCAGTTACTCAGGAGACTGAGGCAGAGGGATCACTTAAGTCCGGGAAATTGAGGCCTCGGTGAGCTGTGATATTCCACAGCACACTAGCTTGGGCAATAGAGTGACTCTGACTCAAAAAATAAAATAAAATAAAAATAAAACAAAATAAAAGTCAGGTGGCTAGAGCTAGCGGGAAGGACATGGCTTTTGGACCAGGTCAGATAACTTCCATTCCAACTCTGCATTTTACACTAGCTATGGGACCTTAGGGCTGTCTCTTAATGCCTCTGAGTCTCTGATTCCTCCTCTTCACAATAGACGAAGAATGGAGATAAGAATTCAGCGATCTCTGTAGCACATGGACATAGTCTGCATGAGAACTAGCACATAGGAGCACATGGAAAAGATCGAGAAGGGCCCGCACCACTGGGAACTTGTGTACCTTGATAAGATCTTGCTTCTCCTTCTCTCCACAGGTGATGGCCTTTTTGATGGCCTTTGTTTCTCTCAAGACAGCCTGAGCTTCGTCCAGTTTGTAGCTGCCCTGAGCATCAGACATTTTCTTGTCGATTCTAGAAGATGGTTAAATGGAAATGGTCAGACTTAGGGTGAGGGACAGGGTTTCCCTGGGGGAAAAGCATGAACCACACTACTTCAGTCCCTTAAGGAGTCTCTTCCCTCTGTCCTGCATACTCTTCCTCCCTGGGACCACGAGTGGGATAAGGCATGGAAGGTACCTATTCAACTACACATGTCCCACAGTGTGTGGCTGTGGAAGCAACACTGCTCTTGCAGTCAAGTGTCCTCTAAGCATCAGCTTTTACTGGAAGGCTTCCCTGGTTACCTCCCAAAGTCCTCAAGGCTGGATAGGTAGTTCCCACATACATCGAATATATCTGTGACACTGCAGTCATTGTATTGTATGATAATTTCTAATTTATGTGTTTACCATATTTGACTTGACTCTGGCAGACTTGAGAGCAGGGAAAAGAATGGAACATGTTTGTTTTAATACCTGGCATAGAATAGTTCTTTAATCTGGGTCTCTCAACCTTAGCACCCTTAACATTGGGGGCTGGATGGTTCTTTGCTGGGCGCAGGACAGGCTGTCCTGTGTACTGTAGGATGTTTAGCAGCATTCCTGGCCTTCACTCACAAGACACTAGTGGCACCCTGACCCCGAGTTTTGATGACCAAAAATGTCTCCATGTATTATTACCTAATGTGTCCCTTGGGGAAAGGGAACAAAATCACCCTGAGCAAGAACCATTGTCTTTTAATAAGCACGTGCTGAGCTAATGGACACAATGAAGGAAAGATTGGAACGATTTAAAAAACTCCCAGCCCTGCTCGCTATAAGTAGTGTGACCTTGGCATGTCTCTCAAGTGCAAGGAGCCTCCGTTTCTTCCTGTAAAAAAAACCTGGACGATGTTAATCTGCCTAGTCCATGTTCATGGGGTTGTCAGGAGCATCCAATGGAATAAAAGATGGAAAATCTTAAATTGAACTAGGAGCTACTGTACAAACGTAAAGGATTAAAACACTTCTAGCGCAGAGAGCTTATTAGCTTATCAAGGCCCTGCACATAGGTTTATTTTAATGGGGGGGGCAGGGGGTGAAGCGAAGGGTCTTGGCATAGTTTTATGCAGGTCAGACTGAACCAGAGATGGGAAAGAAGGGCTGAGCTTCTGGAGGAGGGCTGAGGTGTGGAACAGGTTCTGTGGGCAGAGAGACATTTTCACTGCTTTGCACTTTTGCCGAAAGCGAGACCTGCGGTTTCAGTCCAAGGTGAAGAAAAAAGAAGTTTTACAGTCTGAGGGAACACCACAAACTCATTATTTCAGGATGAGAAACCGCTCACAGGCATTCCTTTGTGGTTTCCTGCTACAGGCCAAACTGTCCTGAGCTAAAAATAACCTGAGTGGGGAATCACTGAGCAGACCCAGCTTTCATCTTGGCCTCAGGGTCTGAGCCTCTACGCAGGAGAGAGAGGGAGGCAGGGAGTGCGGTCTCCACATGGCCTCCCCCTGCAGTTACTTCAGCCTCCCTGGAGAGAAAACAAAGCCCCATTTATGCCTCCCCACTAAAAATAGCCTGTCAATTCCTTTCGAGGACTTAGGCCTCTGTAGGCCTCTCCAGTTGGCCAAAACTAGTCTCAGATCCAGTCTGAAATGAAGGTGGGGTGCTTCCCCCAACAGAGTCCTGCTCAAGGGGCTCGGTGGACAGAAGGCTCCCCCAGCACCAGCGTCTGGGATTGGTGGTGGTCCTGCCATAGATGGGGTTGGAGGGTGCAGGGGAGATGCTATTTGTCCTCTGCCAAGAGGGTGAGAATGGCTCTGAATCCTCAGCAGGAAGAGACAGAAGCAGTCTGTCTGCTGGGCCTCTGACAGCCTCTACCTGATTTCTTCAAGGGCCTTAGCAACCCGGGCTCTGGAATTTGGCTCCAGAGAGCAGCCCTGAGAGGGATACTCTCGATGAAGCTGGGGTGAGGAGGGGGTGGGGGAGAACAAAGGGTCACCATTATGTACTCAGTGAATGAATCTTTTTTTTTTTTTTAAAAAGGAAAGAAAAGTTTGTGTGTGTGTGTGTGTGTGTGTGTGTGTGTGTGTGTGTGTGTGTGTTGTGGGATTGTGGGGAGATACATGTGTTTTAGAATTTCAAATTTCCAAATACCTCAGTTGTCCTCTCTTTGCAAAGTCACACACCTGGTAGCCATGCAGAGGCAGGACAAAGGCCATGTAGCAGACGCCTCCTCCCAGCCCTGTCCAGATAACTCCTACCTGATATGCAGAGAGTTGCCACACTGCCCTCTCCCTGCAGGGCCGAGGTGTCCAGTGTCCACTCTTTCTTATTGACAAGGGCTCAAGGGAGCCAATGGGACACAGTCTCAAGCTTCTGTCTTGATTTTTCTTTTCGATCTCCTCTAAGGCACATCCTTCAATCCTTATCAACCTTGTCTCTCTCTTTTTTTTTAAAGGTACAGGGTCTCATTCTGACACCCAGGATGGAGTGCAGTGGTGTAAGCATGGCTCACTGCAGCCTCAAACTCCTGGGTTCAAGGGATTCCTCCACCTCACCTTCCAAGTAGCTGGGACTACAGGCCTGTTCTACCATGCTTGGCTAATATTTTTATTTTTTGTAAAGACAGGGGTCTCACTACATTGCTCAGGCTGGTCTTGAACCTCTGGCCCCAAGTCATCTTCTGCTTCACACTTGCAAAGCACTGGAATTACAGGTAAGAGCCACTGCACCTGGTCATTCTTCTCTCTCTTTCTCTCACTCTCTTTTTTTCTCATTCTCTCTTGCTGTCTCTATTTCATCGGAATCTCATTCTGTTGCCCATGCTGAAGTGTGGTGGCATGATCACAGCTCACCACAGCCTCAAGCTCCTGGGTTCAAGCAATCCTCCCACTCCAGCCTCCCAAGTAGCTGGGACTACAGCTGCATAACACCACATCTGGCTAATACTTTGATTTTTTTGTAGAGACGAGGTCTCACTATGTTGCCAAGGCTGGTCTTGGACTCCTGGGCTCAAGCAATCCTACCACCTCAGTCTTCCAAAGTGCTGGGATTACAGGCATGAGCCACTGTGCCTGATCTCTTTTTAAAACTGGGGTTGCTGACTATGTGTCAAACATATGGACTCGTGGCATAAAGTAACTACTCAACAAAATTTCAGCTGGCATCACCACAATCATGACCGGTGACGCAACTGCTCTTAAGAAACAGCAAAGCTGTATCTCCCTTGGCTGTGGTTTAGCTTCTAGAAATAGAATAACATTTGGTCACAGTTATCCTGGAAGTTCCTTAAGTCACCCTTAAAGATGAGTTTTACCTGACCTCATGATCTGCCAGTAGAGGAGGCAAAGAAGTAGAAACGACTGGACAGTCCCCTGCTAGACCCTGAAAAGGATTCCACGGGTGATGGAAAGAGGCCCTATGTGTTCTGGGATGGGGAGAGGAGTGATCTGGGATGAAACTGGGAAGGGAGGTATTAAGACATGAGTTTCAAAATCCAGGAATCTTGGGTTCTTGTCCCAGCTCTGGGACTAGGTGCTAGCTGGGTGGCACTGGGTGTATTTTCAATATAACACAGAGCAAGACAAAAATTTCTTTAAAAGTGGGTAAAGAGGGCTGGGTGTGGTGGCTCATGCCTGGAAACTTTGTGAGGCTGAGGTGGGAGGATTATTTGGGTACAGGAGTTCAAGACCTGCCTGGGCAACACACCTTTAAAAAAATACACACACACACACACACACACACACACACAGATTTATATTTATATATATAAAAGCCAGGCGTGGTAATATGTAGTCCCAGTCCCAGCTACTTAAAAGGCTGAGGTGGAAGAATAGCTGAGCCCAGGAAGTCGAGGCTGTGCCTGGGTGCCAGAGTGAGACTCTGACTCAAAAAAAAAAAGTAGGTGAAGAGAATGAAACAAGGCGGCTGGTATTAAGTGCTTAACTGGCACAGTGTCTAGCCTGGGGTGGGCACATAGTTCATCTGAGCTCCCTTCCCAAAACTAAGCAGACAATTAGCTAGAAGTCACCACCCCATGCCCTTCTCACAGAGACTTCTTGTATGTCAGGGACTGTTACACACTCAACTTGGATTTTCCAATTCAATCTTTATTACCACTGATTTTTCAAATAAAGAAATAGAAGCTCAGAGGGGTTAAGTCACTTTTCCAAGGACCCAGAGAACTAGGATTTGAACCCAGGCTATCTGCCTTTTGAGGTGATATTCCTAACCCTCTACGCCAAGGTGTACATTAAAACAGATGTCTTCCTTTCCTCTGGACAAGGGGTCAGGCTTCTGCCTAAGGAGTCTGGGCAGTGTCCAGTCTTATCTGAGTCTGATATCTAACACTGGGGCAGAGTGGGGGAGGAAAGGGAGGCTTGTCTTTGGGGTTTCAGCATCAGCTTACCAAAGGACAAGAATTTTCAATGCTGCTACAGCGTGACAAAGTGGTAAAACAGGTTTGTGGTGGCTCAGAGAATAATGGGAAGTGTTCTAACCAGGAGCTCTTGAGGATTGCAGGAGTCAGGAGGAGGGAGTGAGCAGCCTTAAAACAGCTCAGAGGTTGTTTCTCTGCAAATAGAGGACTCAGGCTACTGTTTTAATAGGTCAAAAACAAGGATTTTCTAGCTGGGCATGGTTGCCCATACCTGTAATACCAGCATTTTGGGAGGCTGAGGCGGAAGGACTGCTTGAGCTCAGAAGTTCAAGACCAGCCTGAGCAACAAAGTGAGAGCTCATCTCTACAAAAATAAAAAAATTAGCTGGGTGTGGTGGCATGTGCCTGTAGTCCTTGCTACTCAAGAGGCTGAGGCAGGAGGATGGCCTGAGCACAGGAGGTCAAGGCTGTAGTGAGCCAACATCATGCCACTGCACTCCAGCCTTGGCAACAGAGTGAAACCTTGTCTCAAAAAAATAGGAATTTTCTGAGCTCACACTATTGCCCCCACTGTCACCGGTGCTACTGAAAATGACCAAGAAGCATAAAGCATGGTCCCTGGCCTTAAGAAGTTTAGAATGCAGTTTGAGAGATAGGATTGGCATATATATATCTATATATATAGATATATAGATATATATATAAATAACATAGATATAAACAAGTATATAGAAAGCTATAATTTATAATTTGTGAAATAAAAAAATTATATATAATCTATAATAGAAAGCCATGTTTTTTTATTATTATTTTTTAGATAAAGATGAGGTCTTACTGTGTTGCCCAGGCTAGTCTTGAACTCCTGGGCTCAAGCGATCCTCCTGTGTCAGCCTCCCAAAGTGCTGGGGTTACAGGTATGAGTCACCACACCTGGCTGAAAGCCACACTTTCTTCTACCATGTGCTGTGCTGGCTTCATGGTGGCTTACCCAGGTAATGGAGACTTCTGGGTGGAAAGATGTGAGTAAAAACCAACCAGTCCCTTGACAATGGTTATGGTGCCCTCAATTGGCTTGAAGACAAATATCAAGGCAATGGTCATAGGATGGTAGGGGTGGATATGAAGTTTGGGGGAGAAGAAAAGGGATAGTAAGGGAGAGAGGAAAAGGGACAGTTGGGAGAGAAAAAAAGCAAGTAATTGTAGAAAGCACCATCGTACAGGTGTGGCCTCCCTTGGAATCCCAAAGATGCCCCTCAAAAAGGAGACATCTGCTGAGAGTCCAGCCTAGAGCTTCTGAGAGGTCTACCAGGCAACCTTGGTAATGATTGTCCAGTGAGCTGGTCAGATATACTAAACACAACTCAGCGAGCAAGTCTCAGTTATCTCTTGTGGCTAATAACAACAATAAGCTAACATTTCTTGAATACTTGCTACATGACTCAGTCTCCTCATTTATAAAACAGGGTTAGCTAACAGAACGTTCCTTATAGAGCTGCTATGAGAGTCAAAGGAGCTTACCTACATAGAAACACTGAAGGGGTTTCCTGGTGCAGAGTACCTTAACTGCTCACCAAATATCAGCTAGCATAATCACAGTCATGACTGTGAACTCAACTTGGCTGCAGGTCAATTGCTAAAGTGAAAATTACATTTGGTCAAAGTTATCCCGGAAACTCCTTAAGTCTTACATAGAGTACAGCATACATGGTATCATGCTTACTTTTCTAGGCACTTGTTTCTACTGGAGACATTGCTGTTCCTTCAGTGGAACACTAGGTGAAGTAGTTGCTCACTTTTAGGGGCCATAGGGAAAGAATGTGTTTTGTCTGTGTGCCTAGGAGACACCACTGACTCTGCTAGAGGAGATGGGACATGTGCACAGAAATGCTCAACGATACTTGTTACTATGACTGGATCATAAAACCCAGCTGAGTGAATAGACCTTAATGGCTTCCAGAGCTCAGAGGACGAGGAGAGTTCTTTGGTCTGAAGTGATCCCTGTTTCCTCTTTCCAAACCTCACCCTTGAGTGACAGTATCTTCAGGAAATGCCAGCAGAACAGAACTTGAGTGATTAGGGAGCCACATTCCGAGGAGGGAGGAAAGGGACTGAAGAGACAGATGGGGCAGGAGGGGAGCCTGGCAGAGGCTGCCCATGGTCTGAATGCAGGAGGCACTCACTTCTTTAGGGTCTGGAAGCCACGCTCCTTGAACTGCAGCTCATGTTGGAGGTGAACCATCTCTCTCTTCAGCTTGTTGACCTGGATGGCAGAAGACCACACCCAGCGGTGTCAGAGACCGACATCAAGCTGTGGGCTGCCTTCTCCCACAAGGGGAACCCAGAGCTCCCACTGCGTCCACATAGTGACTCAGGTCAGCATCCTTCTTGGGGCCACTTGGTCACAGTCCCGCCCCTCACTGATGCTGAAGTTGGTCACTGTAGCTGCCCATGTGAGCCTCCCGGCCCGGTTTCCTGTGGGTCATGCCTGGCCAGTTGTTGCTCCCAGGAAACAGGAAGAGGGCAAGAGCTGACTGACCTGGCCTACGGGACAGTAGGTGATCCCTCTCAAGCCATTCTGCCATCCTAAGCCCCCTTTCCTGTCCTGATGGACATGAATAATGGCGATTCCCAGGGCCGTGCATAATTTAAAGCAGACCATGGGTATGTCAGTGCTTTGCATGGAGGTGAGAGGCCATGGAGTAACTTCAGAGGCCAGACATGCCCTAGAAGCAGGAGCTAGACCCAGCCTGTAGGCTTGTCTGGCCTGCTCCGTACTATGAAACTTTGTAAATGAATTGCTAAAAATTAAATTGTGAGAAACTTCATATAATAAACCTAGATACACAATGTCTTTCTAAAAATACCTGAAGATCTGGCAACACTGAGCCTACACTCCAGCATGGACACAGCAGACCGTGCTAAAATCTCATTATCTCTTTAAACCGGACTTACCTGTCCAAGTTACACAGTCCCTACTGTTTCCTACTGCCTCACCCTCCTCCCTCCAGCCCACTTCCCCCATTTATGTCTCTTTGCAGGCATCTGAGTTTGTAGAAAGTACTTAGAATTAAACCAGTGTTCAAATGCAAACTTTACCCCATGAACAAGTCACATAACTGCTGTGCCTCAGTTTTCCTATCAGTAAAATGGGAATACGAATATATATCCTCCTAAGAAATCAGGAAGCAATTAAATACAATAATGTAGAATAATTAGTAGCTAGGAAGAAAGAACTTTGGAGTAAGACTTGAGTCTCTTGTGACCTTGGGCAAGTTTCTTAATTCCCCTAGGCCTCTGTTTGCTCATCTTTAAAACGCAGATAATGACAGCAACTACTTCATGAGGTTGTTGCAAGGACATGATAGTACACATGAAGCATTTAGCATCATGCCTTATATACGGTGACTGCTTGTGAAATGGTAGCTACTGTTACCGTTACTCTTACTATGACGCCTGCTTCTACTGTTATTATTTAGGGCTTTGTTACTCAGCCCTGGCTGACATGGCCTGCTAAAGCATCTACTCTGGCCTTGTGGGTGAGCTAGTGGCCTAAGACTTCAGTGTCCCCCATCAATGGCACAGGCGAAGAGGTCCTACCCGGGATTTTGCAGTGGCAATTTCAGCTTTCAGGATCTCAGGGTCATACTTAGAGCTGGATGATGAACCAGAGACCACTGTAACGCAAAAAGAAAAAGAATGTCAGTAGAAGAAACATTTCAGCAGAGCCAGTTTATTTGGCCATCTAAATAAAGTCAGAAAGAAAGGACTAAAAGTGAATAACCTAAATATCCAACAAAGGGGATTTGTTAAATAAATAGGGTGTGCGCACAAAATGGGGATTATGCAGCTTATGCAAATTAAAATGATGGTGCGAAGAATGTCGAATGAAAGGGAAAATGTCTGAAACTCATTGTTATGTGAAAACAAGTTTATAAAAATGTATAAAGAATTTAAATTTAGAAAATATACAGTTCACAAATATATACACACACACCTAAAAGACCAGAAAGAAATATACTAAAAGATACCACCGATAGCTACAGAGTTCAATGAATGCTATTAGTTTTCATCTCTGTATTTTTCTATCATTTTTTAACATAAACATATTTTTGTAATCACAAAAAATTACTAAAATTATTTTACTTTACATATAATGTTAATATACATTTGAAAAGAAAAATAGAATACCCATAATCCTACCACCCTAATACAATCATCTTTTTCCCAGGCTGTCTTCCAGTGTTTATCCATTGTCCTATCATGGAGTTGTCATCCTACCACATTTTAAAAATAGCACCTTTCATGTCTTGAAAAAAGGATTTGAAGGCTTCTAAAAGTGAACATTACAGAGTAAAAGGCATTTAAAGTAAAAGTAAAGTAAACATAAGGAAAATAAGACAAAGAGAAAGCAAGGATAAGGAAGCAAACTGGTGGCAGGCATGAGGTTAGGGCTCAGCGCATACCATGAGGTCTCCCTTTTTACCCAGAATCACCACCAACCTGATTCCGAGCTTCCTAAATAGTGCTGTGAAGAGGAAAACTGGGCCGGATATAAGATCCATGGTGTCCTTGAGGTAAACACAACCCCACTGTTCAGAAAAGCACAGTGGTTCTTGGTAGAGAGGCCAGTTATTCCAGTTCAGGGTTGTGGGTGACCAGAGCCCTTTCCAGCAGCTCAGGGCCCCAGGTTGGAAGCAGTCTGAACAGGATGCCATCCCATCACAGGGTGACTCTCACACACACACACACACACAATGGGACCGTGTAGACACACCAATAAACCTAACAGGCACAGCTTTTGGATGTGAGAGGAAACTAGAGAACCTGGAAAAAACCCACGCAGATGTGGGAAGAACAAGCCAACTCTATACAAGCAGTGGCCCCATCTTGGAATCGATCTTTTCTCTCATCAGTGTGATAATGAAATGACGTTGAACAAAACAGTGTTATTCGAGGATCTGCTGTATTCCCCAGAGAGGCACTTTTCTACAAAATGTTAAAAAACGTTAATACTAATTGTCACCCACCAGTCCATAGTAAGAACATGGTGAAAGAGTTGTGTGTAGAATAAGACAGAAATATACACAGAGAGGGCCTGGGAGTGGGGGGTGCCTGTTCTGTGACCAGCCACCTTGCTTATACACTTCAGACTCTGGATGAGAATGTGCACTTTGGAAAAATGTTAAGGTGACTATGGCAGCAGCCTGGAAGAGCCCCTTAAAATCCCCAGATCTGACCTGGGCACGGAGAGGTTGGCTGTGGGGATCAGTCACACTAGGGCTGGCTTGAGGAAGGTATCGGTGTTCCTTGGGCCTACTCAGAAAGCCTGGAAAGAACGAAAGTCAAAAAATAGAAGACTCCTGCTTAGTAGGCCACTGGGGATTGAATTCTCATCCTCTGGAGTATCACTGTGAAGTGTATAATTTGTACCCAAAGCTGCTGGAATGGGATTAGCCTGTCACTTATCATTTTTAGAGTAAGCCTTGTATCAAGTTTACTTAAAATGTACGTAAAAGTGCACGTATCATGTATGCACAGCTTGATGAATTTTCACAAAAGTAACATGCTCAATGGCTGGGCATAGTGGCTCATGCCTATAATTCCAGCACTTTGGGAGACCGAGGAAGGTGGATTGCTTGAGCCTAGGAGTTCAAGACCAGCCTGGGTAACAGAGTGAAACCTTGTCTCTACAAAAAACAAAAACAAAAACAGCTGGGTGTGGTGCCAGGTACCTGTAGTCCCAGCTACTCAAGAGGTTGAGGCAAAGGATTACCTGAGCCCAGAAAGTCCAGCCTGGGTAGCAGAGTGAGACCCCAACTCAAAAAGAAAAAAATTAAAAAGAAACATACTCAAGTAATCAGCACTCCAGTCAAGAAAAACAGGTCACCAGACTTCTCTTTGTGTCTGCCTCCCTACCTTCCTTCACTCCCCGCTACTAAGAGAATTTTATATCCAAAAGGACCTTGAAGACAGTCTTGTTCCATTTTTTAATAACTTTCAAGTTTCAGTTATTTAAGTTATGTGTGAGCACAGTTTACCAGTTCAAAATAGCACAAGGTTTACCATAAAAAAGAGCATTCCATAGCTCCCTTTCCCTGTAACTTACACCTGCAAAGGGAATCACGTTCAAGCGCTCATTTGATGTCTTGGGTAGCTACCTCTATGTCTCTGATAACAGGCATGCGGTGCTGGTTCTTGATCTTTCCGTTTTAGGCATGATTTGTTCACCTCTCTCTGAAGGACAGGGATTTAGCTTCCCTTCCTTGCCAGCTCCCACACTACACTTGAACCTTTCTACCTCCCCATGCTCTTGAAAGAGATGGCATGCTTTTGGTGAAAGCAATCTTCAGTGTTTGCATTATTTTTGCTCTGCAAATACTGCTCAGGGTAGAGTCAGCCAGCTGACTTTGCTTATTGCTTATTTGCTTTTTTCCTTCCAGCACGATTTTTTTTCTAGAGTTAATAATTGGCATTTTAATGCTTGCTTCTTTTCAACAAACTTATCACTTAATTCAACCTCACACTCTGCCAGTTATCAAAACTTCCTCTCCTGGACGCCAAGCCAGTCTGAATTGGGCCAGGTCCTGCTTTTCGGATCTCTCCTGCCCAGGCCTGCTTCTGTATGAGCTGGTTGCTCTCTGGGAACAGCTGGCATCCTGAGAACCCTCCGTGCTCCTCTGGGCATCTCCTTACTTCTCTGTATACCACGTCTTTCTCTTTGTAGTCTACAATGTCATTTTGGTAGAACATCACCTCCAGTAGTGCCAGGAAATAAACTTGTTGCAATCTTCCATACCTAAAAATATCCTTATTCTACCCTGCACTTGATTAAAGGTAGTTTTGCTGGATATAGAATTCTAGGTCAGAAACAATCTACCTTGACATTTGAAGGCATGGTGCCACAGTCTTTTAGGTTTCTAGTGCTGCTGGTGAGAAGTACGGAGCTATTCTGAGTCTTGATCATTTCTGTGTGACCTGGTTTTTCTCTCTGAAAGCTTTTAGGGTCTTGAATCGTACCAGTGTTTGAAGTTCCACAGTGATGTATCTTGGCGTGAGATGACTTTCATCCATTGTGTTGGACACATGGTGAATTCTTTCAATCTAAAAACCTTCCTTCAGTTCTGGGAAACATGTCTGCATTATTTCAGTAGTGCTGCATTCCCTTGGTTTTCTGTTCTATCTGGAACATTTTTCCCTCAGACAGTAGCTTTCCTGGCCTGGTGCTCTACTTTTTTCCTCTTATTTTCAATCTCATTGTAATTTTTGCTCTGCTTTTTAGAAAATGTCCCAAGTTTTACTTTCCAGTCTTTCTATAGAGTTTTCATTTCTACTCTCATATTTTAATTTCCAAAGGCCCTTTTTTGTTCTCTGAAGGTTGCTTTTTTTATTTTTTAAATTTATTATTATTATTTTTTGAGTCAGGGTCTCACTCTGTTACTCAGGCTGGAATGCAATGGCATGAGTGCCACCATGCTTGGCTAATTTGGGTTTTTTTTTTGTAAAGACAAGGTCTCACTATGCTGCTTTGGCTGGTCTGAAACTCCTGGGCTCAAGCAATCCTCTCATCTCAGCCTCCTAAAGTGCTAGGATTATAGGCATGAGGCACCACACATGTTATGAATGTTCCTTTTACAAAACAAAGCACCCTGTTCTTGTTTCCCAGTTGTGTAGCTTCTCCTGATGGTTTCTTCTCCACACATACTCCGTTTCCCCCACATCTCCTTCGCCACATGTTGGTTTGAGTCTCTATTTTCCCTGTTAGAGGCTTCCCTTGGATATTTGAAATCTCACCTAACATCAAAAGGTGGGAGCCTAATATGCTGACTGGAGTGGAGCTTATGGACTGTGGGCTGTACAGCACGTGATTTGGCTGGACGCGATTTGGTTTCATCCAGGAATCCTCAGCGTCGATGTCAGTGTCAGTGTCTTTAAAGCTTTCCTTTTTGCATCTCTTTTCTCTGGCAAGATTTCCAGGAGATTTTTTCTATGGTCTGCCTAGAGGATCATGGCCTGGCACCATTCTCAGTACAAAGTGGTACATAAGGGCAGAGGTCTCAAAAACCCCGCATGTCCATGTTCACTCACCATGCTTTCTGTATGGCACACCTTGGCTATGAATTTGCCTCATGTCCTGTTTTACCCTCTCCAAAAAATGAACCTTGCTAGGTTGGATAGGGCAGTTGCCTGGCTACATCAATTTGGGGAGGGGATCTGATGTTCCACCTGTCTCAGAAACAACTTCTATCCAGTCCTCTTTGAGGACCTTCTCCCTTCATGCTCAATTCCAGGGACAGCTGCTGCCACTAACTCCCAGGCCTTTTGTGAGTGTTCTGTAGAACAATGTCAGTTTTCCCTATCAGCCCATTTTTTTTCCTTCGGTTACTATGTAGGTTGCCACCTGTCTACCAACTCTCCAGTTTCCAACTTTTATTGCTGCTCTTTCTTTCCCAACTCTCCCTATTCATGTGTATGTGTACCTTTAAATACATCTTTTATCTGATTTTTTTTTTTTTTTTAGTTTCAAGAGTAAGTGAAATCAGGTAGGTGATTCAACCGGCATGCTTTATTTTTTTTAGAGACAAGGTCTTGTTATGTTGCCTGGGCTGGACTCTAACTTCTGGGCTCAAGTGATCCTCCCCACTCAGCTTCCCAAGTTAGCTGGAACTACAGGCATGTGCCATGGTGCCTGGCTTCAACTGGCATTTTTAACTGCAAGGCTTCCAATGATTTTTCAAATGGAAAACCAAGGCCCAGAGAGGAGAAAAAGCATGGTGAGATTCCAAAGAACCCAGCTCTTTTTGAAGCCTCGCCTTTTAGAGGCTGGGAAAAACCAAGTGTGGTCCAAGAACCTTAGTATTTGACTGGCTGACTTGGATTAAAGTAAGAAATTGGTTTTGAGGTCTGATACATCTGGGTATGAAGGCTACCACTCTATCACTTTTTTTTTTAACCAGTGTAACCTTGGGAAAACCATTTCCTCATTTGGAGCCTCAGTTTCTCTGTCTGTAGAACAGGAAAAAAGCTATCTTGCAGAATTGTGTATGTGAATGGGGAGGGAGGTTACTTATATAGAGTGCCTAGCATAACTACCCTCCAGGTATACAATAGGAGCACATTAAATGTTAGCTCTCTTCTTCTCTATGGAGCTAGATATTACACCAGAGAATTGACAACAAAGTTTCCATTGCTAGGGCAGGGCCCCACCTGTGTCTGGGACCCACAGCAGTCAAGGCCAGGTGGCAAAACTTTCACAAGCCCCAGCAAGCCATCTGAGTTAGACAGGCATGCAACCTCACCTGTCTGTTATGCCGAGAACTCGACTTAGAAGGCAAATCTGGCTTGTAAAACCTGAAGAAAGAGTCACGATGAGTCTTGCATCACGCCTCGTTTAACTGGAAGCTTGGGCTAGGGGAATACCTAGTTCCTGTCTGGTGTAGATCTCAGACCCAGTTGCCAGAAATGACTACAGTCCCTTCAGAAGGAAGATCTTTAACATTCAAAATGGCAGTGCCTTTGAGCCTGGTGCTTAGAGCTCTTGGGGGTGACTGATAGTCCCATGACAGGGCTAAGGAACTGCATCATTTATTTCTTACCCTGATCATGTATTTGTTCTTACTGGTTCCAGGGATCTGTAAAATTCTTTTTCGTTTACAATGCCAAAGAACTAGTAATAAAAATTATTGTTATTCATTGAAAGTTTAAGAAGATGACAAGTACTGTTTCAAGTACTTTATATTTGCTAAGTAATTTAAGCCTCATAACACCCCTAGGAAGGTGATACTATTATTAGATCAATTTCACAGATGAAGAAAACTGAGGTATAACTCATACACGTTTATAATGGTTAGTAATTTGCATATTCTGGATTTGAACCCAAGCAATCTGGCTCCACAGTCCACTCTCTCAAAATATTATGTGTTTCCTGCCAAGAAGACTATTGAGCCATCAATAAGTTAGAAGAAAATTATGCTAGGTGTTTTACCTAGACAAGTCGACCGGGGGAAATTTTAACACCTAGGGCACATTTGGCAATGTCTGGATACACTTTTGGTTGTCACAACTCGGGGTGGGGGGTGCTACTGGCATCCAGTGGGGACAGCTCAGGGATGATGCTACACACCCTACAACACACTGCCCTCCCCCTCCCCCAACAAAGATTTATCCAGACCAAAGCGTCAGTGATGTCGAGGTCGGAAAACCCTCACACAGGCCCATGAGATAGATGAAGGTCTTAATAACATCCCCAGGGTTAAACAAAAAGAATCTGAGGCCAGGAGTGGTGGCTCATACCTGTAATCCCAGCACCCTGGGAGGCTGAGGCGAGAGAACTGCCTGAGTCTATGAGTTCGAGACCAGTCTGGGTAACGTGGCAAGACCTTGTCGCTACAATAAGTTAAAAAATTAGCTGGGCATGGTGGCACATGCCTGTAGTTCAGCTACCTGAAAGGTTGAGATGGGAGGATCACCTGAGCCCAGCAGGTGGAGGCTGTGGTAGCCATGAGTGTGTCACTGCACATTGGCCTGGGCGGCAGAGTGAAACTTTGACTCAAACAAAAACAAAAACAAAACAAAACAAAAAACACATAAGGAATCTGAGACTTAAAGGGGTAGAGTATGTTCCCCAGGATGACACCCAGGTTTTCTGGCCTCAGAGTCCAGAGGTCGCCACCTCCCTACACAGCGCTTCTTGTGGGGACTCTACACTTGCAGCATTTGACTCTAACTTTTACTTTTGGAAAATTTATAGCTTCAGAACATTTGGAAGAATAATATAATGAATATTGATATACCTTTTCCCTAAACCCAATTTTTAACATTGTCCCACAGTTGTTACCACATTTGTGTTTCCTGTTACCCCAATTCTTTCTCAGACTTTCAGTCCCCAGAACTGTGAGAAAATGAATGTCTATTATTTAAGCCACCTAGTCTATGGTGTTTTGTCATGCCTGAGTCGATTAAGATAAATTAAGTGCGAAAGCCCGCATGACAGTCTCTAGGACATTACCCAACACAGAACTAGCTAATGCATGTAATACAGTTCACTTCTATAATCTCTGAGATTCTGAGGGTTTTCCCGGGTTGCCAAGGAAAGTGCAGGGCTGAGACAGTGAGTGACCCCACAGGGTTTGCCCCGTCCTGCTAGCAGACCACACTCTCAGAGTGAGAGCTTCCCATAGAAGGCACGTCCAGTGGTCCAACCTAGCCGTGCCTACCTTGACACCAGGGCCTGATGCTGGTCCCCAGTGCCTGGCTCACACTGAAAAAGTTGGAGGGATGACAGAATGGGTTTGCAACTGATTGTCGTCTCTCACCATCTGAAGATCCCGGGCATAGGGTGTTGATCCTAAGCCCCAGCTTCCTTACCTTTTAAAGGAGGATATTGGTTGTACTTGTCCATAAAATTGTTGTGAAGATGAACTGAAATAGCATATTCACACCATGGCAGAGTGCCTGGCATATAATAAGTGCTCAACAAACACAGGAGAGATTAGGGAGTTCAAAATAGTAGTAAAGGCCGGGCTCGGTGGCTCAGCCTATAATCCCAGCACTTTGGGAGGTTGAGGCAAGTGGATTGCCTGAGCCCGTGGGTTCGAGACCAGCCTGGGCAACTTGGCAAGACCTCGTCTCTACAATAAATTAAAGAAAAAATTAGCCAGTTATGGTAGCACATGCCTGTAGTTCTGGCTACTTGGAAGGTTGAGGCAGAAGAATCGCCAGAGCCCAGCAGGTTGAGGCTGTGATGGCCGGGAGCGTGGTACTGCACTCCAGCCTGGGCAACAGAGTGAGACTCAACTAAAAAAAATGAATAAATAAATAAAATAAAATAGTAGTAAAAGAAAAAACAAAAACAACATATGGGAAAAGGTCAGTGGGCTCCCCAACAGCCCCATCTGGCACTGCATAGCACTAGGAATGAAAGGCAGGGGACGCCAGCATGCCTGCTGTCCTCCTGTGGGTACCAGGGTGGATAAGGGGGACAGGAGCCATGCCCTTCCCAAGTCCATATTCCAGTGGAGGGAATACCGCTACCATGTAGGCAGATATATTATGATATGTGCCATGGAGAAAATAAGCAGTCATGGCAGAGGCTGCTGTTGAGGAAGGGAGGCTTTGGGTAGGGCTGTCAGACCAAGCCTCTCAGAAGCAACGACCTGAAGTATGACACTGGAAGGAGAAGGAGCCAGCCTTGTAAATGGATCCATGGAAAAGAATTCCAGGGAGAACAGCACATACAAAGGCCCTGAGGTCAGAAACTTCAGGGCAGGCCAGGGGAGCAGAATAGGTGCAAGGGGCTCAGTGTATATGGAGCCTCAAGAGTGAGAAAATGTGATGAAACAGGAGTGGCTGGCAGGGTCTGAACACAGAAAACTGTGCAGTTCATGAAAATTGCGAGGGAAGTCACCGAAGGTTACAGGCCACAGAAAGTGTGAGGGGAAGCCACTGAATGTTCTTTGTTGATTTTAAATAGTAGCAAATTATATGTGGCTTAAAATCTACCATCTTAATCATTTTTAAGTATACTGTTCAATAACATTAATTACCATTAATTGTTGTGAATGTACCATCATCCATCTCCAGAGCTTCTTCATCTTCCTGAACTGAAACTCTGGACCATTAAACAAGAACTCCCCACTCCCATGTCCCCAGTCACTGAGGGATTTTGGACAAGGAGGTATGTGATCTGACTGACATTTAGAGATGATTACAAATGAAATAAAATGCAAATGCATCACTGCAAGTTTCGGGTAGAAGCAGGAGAGACAGGAGACAGGATGGTGGTTTGAATACAGAGTGATGGAGAAAACGGGCAGATTTGAGAAGCAATATTGGCAGGACTCAGTATGGCTATTCCCTGCTGGTGTGGGAGTACAGGGGCACTGACAGTGGGAGGTACTCACAGCTGACCTGGGAGCCCAGTTTGTGCTCCCAGACGGCATGCAGTTGCTGGTACTCCTGCTGTGCGAGCTCCAGGCGCTGCTGCTTCACCTGGTAGATCTCCTTTTGTGCGCTCAGAGCCTCCTGGGCCACCACCAGGTAATCCTTCAGCATGTGTTCCTGTTCTCGCCGCCACTGTACCCGGGGATCCTCAATCTGAGTGGTTTCTGGAACAGACCCCAGAGAACCTAGGTCAGCATCTCACAAATGTCTGTTGGGTTGGTGGCCTGTGGAATCCACTACCAGAAAACAAAAAGCAAAAATGAATAGAAAAATCACAATAAATGTAAATGGGTTAAACTCACCAAATGACAGAGATTCTACATTTGGATTCATCAAACAAGCAAAAAATAAACAGCCAAAAATTTCCAAGCCCAAAGTCAATCTCTGGGTACAACCAGCATAAGGACCAGGTTTGAGTTCTAATTTAGACAAAGAGGTTCGAGAATGTTACAGATGCTCAAGGTCATCTGTTTTGGTAGAAAGTAAAGAAAAGGAAAATAGCTGGGCTCGGTGGCTCAGCCTGTAATCCTGCGCTTTGGGAGGCCAAGGTGAGTGGATTGCCTGAGCCCGCAGATTCGAGACCTGCCCAGGCAACTTGGCGAGACCTCATCTATATAACAAATCAAAAAATTAGCTGGATGTGGTAGCATGCACCCGTAGATTCAGCTACTTGGAAGGCTGAGGCAGAAGGATCGCCGGAGCCCAGCAGGTCAAAGCTGCAGTGGCCAGGAGCATGCCACTGTACTCCAGTCTGGGTGACAGAGTGAGACTCCAACCCCCACCCCCAAAAAAGAAAAGGAAAATAACAAATGTTTCAGATGATATGAAGAAGTATACATATCCTGCTGGAAATGTCAATTAGAACAGCCTTAGTAGAGGGCTATCTGACCATGCAAATTAAGAGTCTTAAAATGTCAATACCGTCCAATCAATAATCGCCCCATAGTAATTTATTATACAAAGTAATTTAAAAATTCAGGCAAATATGCACTTGTATAAAACCATGGTAATGATAATAAATAACAAGCACATATTTAATGTTTACTTTATGACAAGTACAGTTCTAAGCACTTTATATGTATTTACTTCATCAATCTTTAGACTAATCTTATAGATTCTATTGTTATCTGTTATACCATAGAGAAAACTGAGATACAGGGAGGTTAAGTAACTTGTGCAATGTCACACAGGAAATTACTGCTCAGATAAGTATGCTATATTTGCATAATGCACTATTATATAGCCAATAAAAATAATGTCTTTGAATAAAAATTAATAAAATGAAAAGGTACTTATAAAAGTGAGTGAAAATTCAGAATAAAAACTGAATAAATAATTTTGTACTTATCAAAATAAAAATGCACATTTCCAAAAAGATTATGTGGAAACAGTAAAATATTAACAACCAAGTGAGCCAGGTTCAGTGGCTCAGCCTGTAATCCCGTGCCTTAGGAGGGTGAGGTGAGTGAATTGCCTGAGCCCGCAGGTTCGAGAACCGCCTGGACAACTTGGCGAGACCTCATCTCTACAATAAATCAAAAAATTAGCTGGGTGTGGTAGCGCGCGCCTGTAGTTCCAGCTACTTGGAAGGCTGAAGCAGAAGGATCGCCAGAGCCCAGCAGGCAGAGGCTGCGGTGGCCAGGAGCGGCCACTGCACTCCAGTCTAGGTGACAGACTGAGAATCCAACTCAAAAAAAAAAACAAACAAGTGGATAGTGTGATATTTTTTCTTCATTATTTTTCTATTTGTTTTAAAATTATTTGTACAATATGTATAATGATAATTTGAAAAAATGCAAAATAAAAATATAGACATTTTTATTAAGTTTATTTAGGTATTTCTTTTTTCAGGGATGAAGTCTTGCCCTGCTACCCAGGCTGGAGTACAGTGGCTTGATCATAGCTCACTGCAGCCTCAAACTCCTAGGCTCAAGTGATCCTCCTGCCTTAGCCTCCTGACTAGCTGGAACTACAGGTGTGCATCACCAAACCTGACTAAAATAGACATTAAAAAAAATGCAGCTGATCAGATGTGGAAGAGGTCAGAATAATGTCAGTGAATCAATGCTCATGAACCATCAGCTCCTTAGTCACATCCCAATTGTTGGATGGGGTAGAGGTGATTGACAAACCAGAAATTGTACTATTATTGTCATGTGGCAAATCCAGTCTGCTGGTAGGTTTTGCTTAGTGTAAAGTGTTTTATTAATTTTGAATTGATTACTAGTATATAAAAAAGGGAGACTTATTCATTAAAATCCTATTTTGTGGCCTTTCTTTATTATTCAGAATATCCAGCCACCTTGGGTTTACAATTTGCCACAGACCCAGCACTCCATCTGTCAAAAGCTGGTTTGTTTCATTCCATGGGCTGGCCCTTGGGGACATTTAAATTTGTGCCCCTAAATCTAGGCCCTTTAGCTCTCATTCCTACTAGACAGGTCTGATGAGCATCTCCAAAGACTGAAAAAAAGATCAAAGCAGTAGCAGGGCCAAGTTCTCATCCTTGCCAATAATGGCTATGTTACAATAGGCATACTGCTGAACCTCTCTGACTCTACTTCCATGTCTGTTAAAAAGGATAACAGACTCTACATTACGGTTTCCCAGGAAACTAAAACATGCGTGCCCAGGTTAAAAACAACAACAACAAAAAACAAATGATGGTGAAAGTAAAACCAAAAATTGCCTAGGATCAATTTTTGAATCGCTTATGAATAGCTGTCCTTCAAGCTTTTCCGCCTCCCTTCTTCTGAGAAAGAAAACAAGGTCTGAAGATTGCTGACAGGGACCACAGAATTGCTTCCCATGAGGAAGGCTTAAGATTCCACAACCAAGCAAGAGGGAGGAACAATTGAAAAAACAAAAACAAACAAAAACAAAAAAACAGCTGCTGTGGGTTTTCATTTCCCATCAGCAGGTGTGGGTTCCTACAGCGCTGCAGTGTTGAAGACTCATGAGTTCCCCTTACGGCATGCTCTAGCCCCTCAGCTGAACAGGCCACAGACAAAAACTCAGCTTATCTTGGCCAGGCTGGGGATGTTTCAGAGAGGGGGTGGGGGAAGGGAGGGAGGGGGGGAGGGAGAGAAACCCCGGCTGGAGTATTAAAGGCTGGTGCAATTATAGATCACTACAGCCTTTAACTCCTGAGCTCAAGCAATCCTTCTGCCTCAGTGTCCTGGGTAGCTGGGATTACGGGTGCCCACCACCACGCTTGGCTATTTTTAAACTTTTTTTTGTATTGATGGAGTCTCACTACATTGCCCAGGTTGGTCTCGAACTCCTGGCCTCAAGTGATCCTCCCACCTTCACTTCCCAAAATGCTGGAATTATAGGAATGAGCCACCGCACCTGGCTAATATGTTTTTTAAACCAACTTTATAAAGGCATAACTTAACTATGATAAAGTGCAGTCATTTAAAGTGTACAGTCAGACAAATGTATACACCATAAACCGTCACTTCAATCCTTTGTAGAATATTGCCTTTAACTCAATGACCCCTTGGACTCTTTCCTGGCAATCTCCTCGATCGAGCCTCCCCTCTTTAAAACAGTTTTGTCTTTTTGGAACTTCATATACGTGGAATCAGACTTTCTTTGGGTCTTTCTACTTTTGCTCAGTATAAGGTTTCTGGGACTTATTCATGTTGTATCTACTGTCTGTGCCTTGTTATTGCTGAATAATATTCTATTGTATGAATATATTACAACTGATTTTTTAATAAACTTTTAGATTGTTTCTAGTTTTGGATTATTACAAATATTGCTGTAATAAGCATGTATGTACAAGTCTTTGTGTAGGCATATGTTCTCATTTATCTTGGGCAAAAATACCTAGGGGTGGAATTGCTGGGTTATCTGGTAAGTATATGTCCAATTGTACTAAAAACCTAGCAGCAGCTGGGCTCGGTGGCTCAGCCTGTAATCCCGCGCCTTTGGGAGGCTGAGGTGAGTGGATTGCCTGAGCCCGTGGGTTTGAGACCCACCTGGGCAGCGAGATCTCATCTCTACAATAAATCAAAAAATCAGCCGGTGCGGTAGTGCGTGCCTGTAATTCCGGCTACTCAAAAGGCTGAGGCGGAAGGATCGCTAGAGCCCAGCAGGTTGAGGCTGCGGTGGCCAGGAGCAGCCACTGCACTCCAGTCTGGGCGACAGAGTGAGATTCCAACTCAAAAGTAAAAAAATAAAAACCTAGCAGGCTGGGCTCGGTGGCTCAGCCTGTAATCCCAGCACTTTGGGAGGCTGAGGTGAGTGGATTACCTGAGCCCGCGGGTTCGAGATCAGCCCAGGCAACTTGGCAAGAGCTCGTCTCTACAATAAAAACAAAAACAAATTAGCCGGGTGTGGTAGCATGCGGATGTAGTTCCGGCTACTTGGATGGCTGAGGCAGAAGGATGGCCGGTGCCCAGCAGGTCGACGCTGGGGTTGCCGTGAGCGTGCCACTGCACTCTAGCCTGGACGTCAGAGTGAGACTCCAACTCAAAAAAAAAAAAAGAACCTGGCAAATTGTTTTACAAAATGTACCACTTTACATTCTCACCAGCAGTATATTAGAGTTCCAGTTCCTACACATCCTTGCCAGCAACTGGCATTGCCAATTTTTTTTTCATTTTAGTCATTGCAGTAGGTCTCTAATAGTACCTCATTGTAATTTTAATTTACATTTGCCTGATAATCAATGATGTAGAGCATATTTGTATGTGTTTATTGTACATCTTCTTTAATGTAATATCCATTTAAACATTTTGTTCATTTTTTTATTGATTTGTTGGGCTTCTTACTATTAAGTTGGAAAACTTCTTTATATATTCCAAATATGGATTCTTTGTTAGATATATGTATGGCAATATTTTCTTCTTATCTGTGGGTTGTCTTTTCAGTTTCTTGATGGTACCTTTTGAAGAAAAAAGGTTTTAATCAGATAAAACCCAATTTATCAATTTTTCTATAATGGTGAATGCTTTTTGTGACTTGTCTAAAAAATCTTTGCCCACTGTAAAATCCTGCAGATTTTCTCCTGTTTTGTAGTTTTAGCTTTTATGTTCAAGATGATGGTCCACTTTGAGATTATTTTTATACCTCGGGTGAGGCCAAGATAGAAGTGAAGATATACATATATTGTCTTCCACATGAATATCAGTTGTACCTGTAATTGTTTTGTTTA